GCTCATTGTTGGTGCAGGTCAGTGTTGTCGGCCAGAAAACAATAGTGAAATTTTTGTATCCCAAGTGTTTAATTTCCAAGAGATTCTAATGGAAGCGGTAAAAAACGGCTAGAAAATCCGATTTTCCAATGTGTTTCTATTTATTCAAATACTTACTAACAAAATATTTCCAAATCGGTTTTTGAATACGATACTTAAATATGTTAATTTTTATTTAACTATGAGAAACCAAGGATTAAATTTAAGAGCTAATTTATACACAATACAAATGTACATTAAAACTGTTATTCATTCATAGTCTTCTATTCAAACTTTTTTTTCATAACTTTTTTAACTGAACTTCTAAAACTATTGTATCGGTCCTAGCTTAGTAATGAGCAATGACTAATGTCTACTCTGAATTCTCCATTAGTAAATGTGTAGTACTAATTACTGATGTTCACTTCTCGTTTAATATCTAAAATTTACATATTATTCATGTTTGTTAGTCATCAAAAACAATATTCGACGAATATTACCAGTCACTGCTCTAGAATATTCTGTTATAACCTAACTATTTCATAATTTAAAACAACAAATTTTAAAAAATCCAAAGCTCGAGCATTGAAGGTTAAGGACAAGTGCCACTTCAATAGGTACGCGTGTGCTTTTATACTGACCTTTGAACGCTGGTCGAAACAACAACAATAAAAAATGACTTAAATCGTATTTTTCGCGTTAGCTTTGAACGTTTTCGTTCATGACCATTTTGCAGTTAGTACATATTATAGTAGTAGTAGTAAACGAGTAGTAAATATACAGTAAAATGTGAGACGTTTGTCAGTACAAGAATTAATATTCGACGATTGTTTCGCGTACGCCTCCTCACAAGATGTAATTATGATAATTTTTTACATTTTTTTAAAGAAAACACACATACATGTAAGCAGTAACTCATAACAATATTGCAACCTTACCTATGCCCGTTGGCTACACGTCATGTCACCACCTTCATTGCCGTTAAGCGTTGCGTTATGCAACCGTGATACAATATATATAATATGATTATGCTAGTTATATATTTTAGCTTATCTCAACGGAACGATTTGATTTTTGCAGAATAATAGTGACAGTTTTTTTTTCAAATTTATTTTTTAGACGTTGCTTTCGCCGTGAACAAAACATGAGATAGCCAGTTGGTGGAAAATTCAAGGACGCGTTGGAAAACCACAACGTGTCTTGCACACAAAAAAGTCAAACTTGTAAATCATAACAGCTTAGATAGATATTATAATACAGGCTCGCCATTACTGCACTTACGAGCGGCTCGTTTTTACCCGTTATCGATATTTAAATCTGTCCGAGATGGTTTTTTATTTGGGTTTTTTTTTTGGTTTTTCCCCTCCGTTCCATTTGAATTTGCGTGGGCGCCTTAGGCCACCTCGGGCAGTCGTCATACATCAACCGGATAGATAAGACGGCCCCGTGTGGGACGTTGTGCTCTAAAAGCATTTGCGATAAACACCGAAAAAATAAAAACAACAACAACCTATCTCTCGTGGAGTCATGCGGTCGCCTCGCCGTGAGTGTGCAATAGTAAAGTCCAAAACGCAATTACTTCCTAATGTGTGTGTGTATACATTTCAGGCTAAAAGTTTCCAACAAGCCGCCGGTCGGCTGACCCAGTTGCCGTTAAGTTTTGAAGGTCGCCGGATGATCAATAAATTCGCATAGGCCACCATGCGACATTTTATTTTAATGTTATTTCATATATACATGTATACATCTACAGTGTTTTTCTTAAAACCCCTAAAGGCTCGCCGACGTTGTTTTTAAGAGTTTCGACCTAACAAATCGCCAAAATAAACATCCAAAACAAAAAACCACACAGAAACAGTTGCTCTGCGATGAAGCAAAACCCAGGAATATGACTTTTTCAGTAATACCCAAGTTGCTATTTACTTATATAGATTGGGTTTTTTAACAGTTCTGAAAAACATTTTATCCGAAAACTATTAAGACAGTCTGAGTGGAGAAAAAAAATTCACATCATTTGTGTAAGACACAAAAAAAAAAAAAAGAGGCTCTTAAAATGGGAATATCTTTTTTCGATAACCAAATTAATATTTGTTTGTAAAGGAAAAATTGAAAATTCCAAAAAAAAAACAACAGATTTTAACGCAATAGTATCTTACCAAATCAACTTAATAATAAATACAACAAGGTTAACTTATATGAGTAAAAGAAATTACATTAAGTAAATTAATTAATGTACTACCTACATTATGTTTACACCACTTGCTAATTAAGGTATTAAAACTGTTTTCAAGATTAAATAACCGTATGATACCATATTTATGTGTCAAGATATTTAAGACCTTTATCAAATCAAAATGAACTTTAACTACACGTGATTTCTTAGAGTCCAGCGACGTCGGTGATTTGTTAGCAGTGAGTACTCAGAAAGAAATTTGAAAACAGTGAAAAATTGTACAATTATGTACAACTAAAAAGTCACCCACGCCCTTAGGCTAACTCAGAGCTGTTTACCGAGCGGTTACTTTGTCAACATTATTTACTACAACATGAATATTTCACTCTCAGATTTAATATTAAAAAAAAAAAACACATTATACCATGCTGATTATGCGTTTTACATGGCCGTGGGCATTAGGTACAGATCAAAAATAGTATAGAGCAATTAGGTAACACCTATGCAGGTATTAGTGTATGATATAATATGGCAATACTCGGGTGTATTAATCATAATGTATTATAGGCAGATGTGTTATCCTTTATAAAAATAAACTTGAAATCGGCTTAAGAATTTATCAGTGTACCTACACTTCAGTGGTTTACACGTCGTAAGACAGTATGGCGTTATTTTAAATAACATTTTCATAAAGGCTAAAAAGTGAGATTTGGCAAAATAAAAAGTAAGTGTATATTGTTTTAACCCACCAACCCACCCTTGTTTTATAGGGGTTTGTGCATACCTGAAAAATTACTGATAATAATGAAACTAGACATTGTTTTCATAGTTTCTAGGTAGGTTTGTTAGAATTACACCTGTCTCGTATAACGCATTTATATTTGCGGCAATTACATAAACATTTCACGGCATAACGTAATAGCTGGATAAACATTTTTAATTTTTAATTGCACTCTGTATAAATAAGTAATACCACTATCGAAGGTAATGACGTTGATAAAACGAGTAAGACAGGTAGATTTAATAACTAATTTATAATAATATATACACAATGACTCGATATAAACATTGGAAAACAAAATCATCAACATTAAATTAATATAAGAAAAACGACGCACGTCACAATTGACAATACAGTATTTTTTTCAAGACTAACAAGTGCATGTAAAATTAAATATAATTATAATCAAATAAAAAATAATATTTATTCAAGATTTTAGAAGACAAGAATTTTAGTACAGTGGGGACGGGGAGGTCGTAGGCCTACAGGAATTATTACAACTGAAAGTTATGAAATCACTTTTTAATAAACGCATAAACATAAAAAGTAAAAACACATCATTGGAAAAACAATACCTTCTCGGCTTGGTATCGACGATCAAAACAATTTAAAAAAAAAAAAAAAAACTAAATCAATTTACAAAAACACTTATAATACTCGTAATATTTCTACTGCACTCTTGCTGATTTTTTTTTTTACTTAAGTAACACAATTTAACAAAAGTTGAATATGTATACATTGCTTTTCTCAAACGGAAGACATAAATTGTTTTTAGAAAAAAGAAAATAGATTAATTTTTTAACTATTCGGGTACGTTTCATTAGCACAGACTTTATACTCGAGAGAGCGTAACGTTAAGAAGATACCATTTTTTTTAACTTAATCTAATTTAGAAAACGTATATGAAAGTATAATAAAATAATTTTAGATCATATCTTACCGCTTTACATTAAACCAAATAACAGTTATTTTTTAAAACGCCAATGAATTATTATTATTCTTTATATGTAAATATATATTAATTTTTTTTTTTTTACTCGATTGTAACAGCAGATATTTTCTTGTAAAAACGTTTTTCACATTTAAATCCGTTTATCGATTAGCAATTTGTTTTATATTTGCACATTTTGAGTATGTTCTTCAAATAAAATTTTAAAAAACCTTTTTATTATTTTAAAACCCTTTGTAACCGGACCGACTACGACAATCTTATTACATTGCCAAGGAATATTATCATGTGAACCAAAAAAGAAGAAAGTGACTATTATTTCAAAGTCGAGCTTTTTATCACAAGTGATGTCTTTTTCTACATTTACTTATGATTTAAATTTCTTAAATTTCGGAGGAGATATTGAAAAAATCGTATAGTCAGCAACAAAAAACAACATTGTAACTGAACTTAACCGCATATTATTATTAGTTGTGTTTTATAGGTTCATAATTTCATAATATAAAATGTATTAGGTAATAAAAAAAACAAGTTATAAATAAACAATAATATTTAAATAGCTTGAATATTCTGCTAAATAAGAGTATTAAAATGTATATTGTAAACTGTATAAATTATAATATATTTTATTAATTTATCACTAAACTTATTCATGCGATTAAATGTTGTTATTCGATTTCGGGTTTTGAATTTTTAATAAAATAGATTAAAAAAACGAGTTAGGTATACAATGCGAGTTTTTTAAAGATAAATTAAAAATATTTGTCTTTCTATAGCATTTAACGTTTTAAATTCTGAAACTCATAAGAAGAAGTGCTTCTTCTTTTTTTGTAAGTTAGTTAAAAATCAACACAGACAGTGGTATATGAAAACTGGTTTTAATATTTTTTTTTTCATCTTTTTGAAATCTTTTATACAATATTTCGCAATAATTAATTTCACTAAATTTTCAGACCTCAACGATAGTTATTATTTAAACTTGGACAAGTTCTGTGTATCGGGTAACTCATTTGCCAAAAGTTGCGCACAGGGGTGAAATGAATATTGGCCGGGCCACGTTTTTTTTGAACCGGGCGTACCTGTTTTTGGGCTTCCACCTTTTTTTGAAAACTCCCAGCATATTGTCCTAAACGGTTTTTGGCGACTTATACGAGACGACCAAGTACAGAAGAAAAAACTATGGATTATCCTCGATCGACCGTCGCAAACTCGCGAATCACATGACCAAAAAAAAAAACGCACACACTCGACACACGGAATAAAAACGCAAAATCAAACGGTCCAAACAAAACGAAATCAAAATATAACTAGGGAAGAAAACCCGTAATCCCGCACACACGACGCGTGTTGTGCAATAATTACAAGAACAAGACGATCAACAGACGACATCGACCACCGACGACCAGCGATTGACTGACGGGAACGCGTGACGCCGGTTGCCGGTCTACCGAGTGCGGTATACTAGTGGTAACAGCTGTTCCATCGACCGGCCCGCTGCCGCCGCCATTAGCTATGATATTATCACACTGACACACTCGCCGGCGACTGACCCAGACGAGAAGTGCATTGTAATGCCCGTCCGGGTCTGCAGTTGTGTGTGTAGGCACTTTTTAATATATTTCATTCCCATTGGGACACTCGAAGGGGCAAAATTGGCCGAGGGAAGTCCCGCCTCAAATTTTCTCGGCTCCAAGTGCAAAAAACATTAGACCGCCCATACTGTCGACGCAAATCGACACTTTATAATAAAATACATCCATTGACCATTATGATATTATTAACATTAAGATATATATATATATAAAAATGAATGTACGCCTGTCTCTGTCTGTCTAGCCAACCTAAAAAATATCTACTATTATTTTAAATACATTTGATATTTAATAATAAATTAGCCCTTGCCAAATAAAACAGGTTAACATTGATTTTCGTTGCGAAAAACAGCAGTGTTACAACACACTGCTGAATTAAGTCGAGTAAACGACGAATTAGCATGGGTAAAAAATCGATTAAATAAATTGAGTAAACGAGAAAACATATTAAGTAAATGAACGGATTAGAAATTAAGTAAACGAACAAATGCAAAAGTGGTAAACGAGTAAATAAATCTAGTAATAGTGTAAGTAAATCGAGTAAATAAGTACATTGAATAAACGAGTAAAAAAAAAAAAGATCTAACGAGTAAACTTACCTATCGAGTAAGCAAATATTATAATAAATTAATAGTGTAAATGAGTAAATAATTCGAATAACGAGTAAACAATATACAAATTGAGCATTTAGCGTGACGCGTCCCGTAAAACTAGTAAATGAGCAAAGAAATCGAGTAAACAAAAAAAGTAAATAAATCAAGTAAACGGGGAAATAATTCTAGTAGTTATTGGTATTATGAGTAAATAAATTAAGAAGGTGAGTTAATGAGTAAACAAAAAACAAAGTGAGCATTTACTGTGACGCACACGAAAAAGTAAATCGTGTAAACGAAAAATAAAAGTAACAAATGAGTAAATAAGTAAATTAATTAACCTAATAAACCAATCGAGTAAGCAAATCTAGTAAATGATAAAACGAGTGAAACAAATTGGGAAAAGTAAAGAAATCGAGGTAATAAACCAAGTAAACAAAGAAATAAATTAAGTAAAGTGTAAACAGTCTAGTAAATATGTCTAGTGATGTTAACTATAGTTCTCATCAACAAAATAAGGATTTGGGAAACACTGTATGACAGTAAATTAAAAATTTGTTTATGAAAAAAATGTCAATTGCGCCTTTTTATGGTTCTCATCACTAATTCGTTTGTTGTGTTGATACTATTTAAACGGGGAGGTTCAAACGCGATAGTGTATGGGTGATATTTTTTGACAAAGTTAGTTAATATTAGCTATAAATATTAATAATGTAATCAAAAGATAACTGGAAATACTTAATATTCGTAGACGGATAAGATACTTACTAGATGAATGTTTTATATTTTATGAGTAACAGCTGTTATAATTAAAAATATACTCGTGAGATAAAACTCTAAGTCAAGTAAAACGAACATACAGCGTGACACGTCGCTCAAAACTATTAAACGAGTAAATAAACGAAGTAAACGTATAAATAATTCGAGCAAATGAGTAAATAAATCTAGTAGATGAGTAAATAAACCGATTATACGAGTAAAAAAATCTAGTCAATAAGTCGAGTAAATGAGTAAATATATCGAGTATTAGGTGTGACACCTCGCGCAGGGTTTATCATTTTTTGCAGAAATTTCTAGAGAACCAAATGCAATAAATTCTCTTTACATTGGCTTTATTGTACACGTCGGTTAACATTTTTCTATAGTTTTTAACGTTATACACCACCACCATAATATACCTTAAGTCCTTTTAACAAAACATAAAAAAATTGCATTAATTACCGTAAGTCAGTTATTGATGTTACGAAAAACGACCGTAATTACCAAGTTAAAATATGAAGTTATAAAGTATTATACTGAAGTGTCACACAAGAGTCTACCATTTGTGTAATTACTAATTTTCAAGTCCTACAACTAAAAAACAGAAGTAAAGAAAAATATGCCGGCAAATTTACCGGTTTTGTTAGATGACAAAGACGTTGTAAGCGTTGCCTTACTTATAACGTCCTTGTTTACCCGCGTTATCATGTTGTGTTATCATTTTCCCGCGTAGCACGGCGGCATTCCGTATTGTGTATAGTATGATAATCGTCATTGTACTGATTTTTATCACGCTTGCTGTAGCCGTTTAGTGTTTACTATAGTTGTTGCATGTCACAAGTGTTCGGAACGCACACTTATGTCGACAGTTTTTCAAACGTCCACAACCGAATACTTGTAGTTTATGTTTTGAATATTGCAAAAATGGATTTAGAATTCCAAGATGTCCGCGCAGAAGTCAAAGGGATCATGGTAAGTCCAATAGTCAACCCGCGTGACATTTCATTAATCATATCTTGGTTTAATTCAAGTTAAATCGACAAAAATGGTTCCTAATGTGTTCAACAACAAAAAATACTTCACTTTAGTTGTCGATAATAAAACAGTGTTTTATTTTAACATTACAAAAGTAGAACAGTCGGTAAATTGATTGTTTCGTTTGAACGATTTCAGTGTTCCGGACGTCTCAAGTTCACCGACCAGAATATCGCTTTTAAGAATGTCAAGACCGGCAAAGTAGAACAATTGACGTCTTCGGACATTGAATTCGTCAACTGGCAAAAACTAGTCGGCACGTGCGGCATAAGGATTTTCCTGAAAAATGGCAATTTACACAGATACAGTGGATTCAACGAATCCGTAAGCAAGACAAAAAAATTTACACTGTTATGATGTATATTATGTAATAGTAAAATTGTTTTATTTATTAGGATCAAGAAAAAATTGCAAAATATTTCAAAAATACGTACAAGCTAGACATGTTGGAAAAAGAACTGTCTATTAAAGGATGGAATTGGGGTAGCTCTAAATTTAACGGCGCGATTTTGAGTTTTGATATCGGTAATTTAACCGCATTCGAAATACCATTGAACAATGTATCGCAGTGTACGACCGGAAAAAACGAAGTCACGTTGGAGTTCCATCAGGTAAACATTAATAAACATACTTTCTACTAAGGTTGTTCTTAGTTTTAACGCCGACGTATTTTTATTGTCGCCGTTTCTCCATTAGAACGACGAAGCGCCAGTCAGTCTTTGCGAAATGAGATTCCACATTCCAACGGCCGAGCTGGCAGGCGATCAAGATCCTGTAGACGCTTTCCACGATCAAGTAATGAAACAAGCCAGCGTTATATCAGTGTCCGGCGATGCGATCGCTATATTCCGTGAAATGCAATGTCTCACTCCTCGGTAATTATCAAACTCGTGTTTGTTTATTTTTAATAAGTTTTACATTTAGAGTTGTAAATGATTCACAAGTTGGCATATTCCAGCGGTCGATACGACATTAAAGTGTTCCAAACGTTCTTTCAACTTCACGGCAAGACGTTTGACTACAAAATTCCGATGACTACCGTGCTCAGGCTGTTTATTTTGCCGCATAAGGACGGCCGTCAAATATTCTTTGTCGTCAGTTTGGATCCGCCCATAAAACAAGGTCAAACGCGGTACCATTATTTAGTGTTGCTGTTTAACATGGAAGACGAGACTTCTATTGAACTTCCATTCACTGAGTGAGTACTTAGGTGATCGACAACAGAAAATAACGACCATGAGGAAAATCTGTTTCTAATATTTTTGTTTTTTAAATCAGTGAAGAAATCGAGACTAAATACGCTGGAAAATTATCCAAAGAAATTAACGGTCCGACATACGAAGTTCTAGCACAGGTCATGAAAGCTATCGTTAACAGGAAAATTACTACTCCGGCCAGTTTTAAAGGGTAAGCGTTAGAAACAGCGTCATAGCTACACCGATTGAAACCAAAAATACACTAATCTTTGTACATTAGATATATTTAATTTATAGTGTTACTAAAATTATTTGGAATTTTATAAATTATATTTTTGAAACACTTAATCTCCGGCCAAAACGTGAGTTTAAATTATTAACACACTTAGTAATATAATAAGTACAAAATTAAGAACACCAATATTTTAACAATTTATTTTTGAATATTATTTTTCTTGATTTGATTTTGCTATTTATTAAAATACGTAATAATGAATAAAAAGCTGTATGGATTGTCACATCTTTAAATTTTAATAATTTTTCACCTCTAAAACTCACCTGCATTCAACTTTTTAATGAAAACCATTCAAGTTAAAATTAAATGACACATTAACATTGCTATATACCTACTGAAGGTAATTTTTTCTAGAAATAACATTTTAACTACAACACTAATTTTAGAAATATTGATTTAAATACATAAATTAAACATCTATACCCTGTTCGCCGAGAGAGCATGCCGCGACCCGACAAAAATTAGCCGTTCTGCGCATCCCCGTGCGGCACCCACGTGTGACTAGCATTCTCCCCGGAGTCCGCCCTGTCTGCCAGCCTTAGTCTTGCTGCTTAATCTTCAGTCTACATGCTCTCTCAGCGAACAGGGTATAGTTTTTTGAGTCTATTTTAATTGTTATTCGTTATATGGTTTTAATTGTACTTCGACAGTTGTAATATTTTTAATTTAACTAAATAGTTAACACAATTTCTGGAATTAAAAATTTATGGCGATTTTAAGTTCAAACTAATTTTCTTTTTTCATTTCTGCAAAAACTTACACATTAAATTCATCAAACATTTTAAAAAAACCACTACCAAAATATTTTTAAATCAAATGCTCTCTTATAAACCTACATTACGATAGTGAATGAAAATTGACATATTTTGGTTTTGTTTTCTAGACATTCGGGCACTTCAGCTATCGGCTGTTCGTACAAAGCGGCTGCCGGTTATATTTATCCTCTCGAACGAGGATTTATATACATACACAAGCCACCGATACACATTAGGTTCGAAGAAATTTCAAGTGTGAATTTCGCCAGAGGCGGAGGTAGTACACGTTCATTTGATTTTGAAATCGAACTGAAAAACGGCGTTATCCATACGTTTAGTAGCATAGAGAAAGAAGAATACGGTAGTCTGTACGATTTCATAAACGCTAAGAAATTGAGAGTGAAAAACACCGGAAAATCAGTAAATGAAAAATCAATTTTATTTGCTTGTTCGAGTCTAAAATTGCAAACGTCCAAATTTTAGGATAAACCAGCTTACACCGGAGACGACTACGGCGATTCAGACAACGAAGGCGAACCCGACGCTTACTTGGAACGCGTTAAACGTGAAGGAAAAGATCGAGACGAAGACGGCGATTCGGACTCGAGCACGGATGAAGATTTCAACCCCGACGCTCAAGAGAGCGATGTGGCCGAAGAGTAAATTTTATATTTAAAATAAATTCAGAACGTGTTTTTTTAATATCATTTTGTTTCTCAGGTTTGACAGTAACGTATCGACGACGGAATCAGAAGACGACGAAGAAGGCGGAAAGTCTAAAGAGAAAAAGAAGAAGAAGGAAAAGAAACCGAAAAGCGCTAAAACTATTGTAAGATGAAACATTTGTATAAGTTATGGTATATTCATTAATAATTTGCCCGTCTTCATTGCAGTCTGAAAAGCCGCGTAAACCGAAAAAAGCAAAGAAACCCGATGACGGTCGACCAAAGCGCGCCGCTACTGCTTATATGATATGGTTCAACGAAGCCCGTGACGAGATTAAATCGAGTAATCCAGGAATTTCTTTCGCCGAAATCGGAAAGAAAGGTGGTGAAATATGGAAAAAGATGACTTCTAGCGATAAATCGGTAAATTTACTTTTCCAGTAAAAATATAATTTGCGTTGTGGAAATATAATTGTACTTATCAAGCGAAACGTTTAGAAATATGAAGAAAAAGCCGCTAAATCTAAGGAAGAATACACAAAAGCGATGAAAGAATTCAAAGAATCCGGCGGAGGAGCCGAATCTTCTAAATCGAAATCGTCCCCATCGAAATCTGCGTCCAAAAAGTCTTCATCGATGAAAAAAGTCGTGACTCCTGTAAAGAGTGGATTGTATATTTCCAAAGAGTTTATCGAATCCAGTGACGATTCATCGTTAAGCGGGAGTGACAAAGAAAAAAGTAAAAGCAAATCAAAAAAAGTGAGCATTTTCTACCGTTATTTATCTCAAGTATAATTGATCAACAGCTATACTTAAGATATTTTTGTATTGACAGGCTTCGTCAGATGACTCGCCCAATAAAAAGAGGAAAAACAAGGTGCGATTGATTATATTTATAGAATATAAAGATTATAGTTAAAGGAAATTTAAAAAAATACTGCTAAAAAAAATGTTAAACAATAAGAAAAATAATGTTAAAAATAGTCTTGCAATCTGATACGAGTGAAGTCGAAAATATAATATAACACGTATATTAATTTTTGCAATTTATTTTTCTAGAGTTCATCTAACGAATCGAGCGAAGAAGAGAAACCCAAGTCAAAGAAAAAAAACAAAAGTGAATCCGAAGAAGACGAAAGCAGTGGAAGCGCGTCTGACGTGAGCGATTCAGATTAAAAATGTATTTGACAAAAAAAAAAAAGAAGGGAAAAAAATGCAAACTATCATATGAATTTTTTTTTTGTTCCATAATTTATTATAAGTATTTTTTTAAGTGTATTGTTAAATAAATAATTTTTAATGCTGTATTTGTTAGATAAATTTCTTATAGATGATTTTTTTCTTATTTACAAAAAAAAACCCCCAAAATCATTTGTCGCTCTTCTACGGCTTTTCTTCTAATGCGGACCAACACTAAACGGATCTTTGAATAATTTACACAACAATTACTTATTGAATTCTTCGTGTCTCAAACCAAATTATTAAAATCATTAAATTTTTTTTAGCTTACATTATTTAATTTTAGTCAACTATTTCATGGAATAAACTAGGGTAATGTGACGTTAAAATAAATCTATATCTGTAACATATTTATTATAAATATGTTATTAAAAGAAACATTAGATGAAATTTTGGTAACACAAAATACAAAATTTTAAATAGGTACACACTTGACATTAGAGGATATTTAAAATATTTAAACTTCAAATCGACAATGTAGTTATCTCTTCTTTGACCCGTTATTGACGGGTTTATTTTGTTGGTGACGTCATTAACCATTTTGATAATGGAATGAATGTAACAAAAGCAACACGTCCCAAATTTTTTTTTCAATTTACTTATAAAATCGTTCGCTGTATCCATAATTGTCTCTATGTCTGGTTTTTTACTATAATCATATTTTGACAATTAGTATTCACTAGGATTTTGCCAAGCGTTTAAAATAATATCAATCTCGAGTTCAATATATTTGATGATAACGGACTGATTATCTGGGCTATATTTTATACAATCGAAATTTAAAGAATCTTTTAAGTACCCGAAGAAATGGTCTTCGCCCAAAGCCATGGCATCCATAAAATCTGTTAAAACTGCATTGGTTCGTTTTATACTCGAGCTAAACTCGTAATTAAGATTAGATAATAGACAACGTTTAATGTGTACAAGACAACGTCCTATTTTGTTCAGCATGATTATTTTCAACAAATCAATTACCATCTGTACATACGTTCCGGTGTATGTTATATTTGATAGTCCTGGGTAATCCGTGAATTTTAACGCCACCGACTTGGCTTTTTCAATCTTTGAAGACACATCGTCCCATCATTCGGAAAGAAAATCTACAGCCAGATAAGACTGTAGATATTCTCTCAGAAAGTCATAGAGCAAATGTGGATTATACATGTTGTTAAAAAACAACTGTGATACACTATAAAACGGAGGACCGTGTTTCGAGGCGTAGTCCTTTTCAGTATTAACTTTGATTAATTCATTCAACGTTGTTTTGTTACTCTTGATTGCATTTTGTGTGGATAAATAATAATTATCCGTTTGATTATCATCTGGCAAGGTAATGACGTTTTTGTAATACTCGCAGCACTGACAATTGGTATCGAAATAATAATTGTCTTCGTAAGACAATTAAGACAAACATCTTTGTAAAATCTGTCCATTTGTTGCGCGTACATGTAAAACATCCATAGCTCATTCAGTTGGATACCTTTTTTGTAGAACAGTATGTTAATTATCTTGATTGGTTCATTAACGAATGAAATGTCATCGGGTGGGAATCGTTCAGTAGTAAGCTCTGGTTCTGGTTCCAGATACATATTCCTTGTGCAATACATATGGAAATGGGCACTGTAAATGAATCCGCATTTAACATCATTATATTTCAAGCACAAAATGTGTCTGCTATTGGGAATAGGCTCTTTAGATATTGCCGTTAATGTGTTAAACACTTCACAAACACAATAGTATCGTTTTTGTGGAATTTCCAGCGAACAATTCATTATGACAAAACATTCGATTGTAATACAAAAAATAACTTTCCACAATTTCGGTGAAACCATAATTTTAAGTTTTAGATTTTAGAAACACTGAAATAAAATAATATGTATATTATAATATGTGATGCTTATCGGACCTATACAATATTACACGTATTGTACTTTCCTTCTTAACCAAATGGATGTTTTTTTGTTCTTCGAATTTTACATTTGTCAATAATAATGTGTTACTTTTTGCGCCGTTTAGACGGTTTAAAGAACATCTGAGTACACAATTATACAATTTTAAATGGTGTGCTATATTTTCATTTATTCTTGTACATAACCGCTAGCACGTCACGTAGCAGGAAAAATTATTATAACAATAAGACAGAGAAGAAAGCTGTAAGGAAACAGAGCGGTTTTTTGTATCGAAGACAGCCAAATTTTTTAATCGGTATTAAGTCGAAATGTTTATATTATATGTTAAGCATGTCTCACGTATTGTCTTAAGCCCAATTTTCGACCACCAATCCCCACCGCCGGGGGGTTAAAATATATATATAAATATCTGAAGATAGGTCTAAAATGTACATGTTTAAAAAGTAAACTGTTGTCAAATTTTTGTTTATAACGAAAACCCAATAAATGACTTTTTTAAACATTTTTAACTCATAAAATATAAATTATAGCCCTATTAAAAAAACATTACTATTGCCACTTTTCAAATAAAAAATTAACAAATCTACCACGTTGTCAAAAGGTTAGTATTAATAGTTTATAAACAACAAAATATCTAAATGCATTTATAAACGTATACATACGTTTACACAGTATTAATTTAGCGAAATACATTTTTTGTAATTTTACAGAGAAACCCGTTTTTTGTATGTATATATTCATTAAACCAGACTTTTACAGCTAATGAATAAAAAATGTATTCACTTGAAACTAGTCCAGCCATTATTTTCAATCATAATGCTATAAATAGGAAACAAAAATAAGTAGGTTGCTATTTGATTTTTAAGAATTGAAATCCTAAAAAAAATTATCATCATTTAAATATTAAATGTATTTTTTCATCATTTAATAATAGCTAAGTGAAATAACGTACACTTTTTAATTTTAGCTATAACTATTTCATGGAACAAGTTAAGGTAAGATGACATTTAAATAACTCAATACTCGTAAAATATACTTTATAATTATTTTATTAAACAATACACCATTGCGAATTTATAATAAAACATTTTATGGGCTTATGGTAACACAAAATACGAATATTAAAATAGGTACACACTTGACATTAGAGTAGATTATAAATTTTAAAACTTCACGTCGACAATGTAGTTTCATTTCATTTCATTTCCAAATGTCAAAAATCGGGATATTTTGTTGGTCATATCACTAACCATTTTGGCGAATGAATAAATATACCGAAAAGTGAAAGAAGATCCGAATAAATTGTGTATTTTACCGACAAATTTTCTAGCCGATTCGACAATTTCATTAATTTCAGTTTCAATAGCATAATCATAAATCGACAACGAGTACTCACTAGGATATTGCTAAGTTTTCAAAATTGTATCAATTTCACGGTTAATTTGGTCGACTATAATATCTAGTTGCTTGTGATCTTTGTTTGAGCTTTTTAAATAGTCAACATTTATAGAATTGTTCATCTTTACGAAGAAATGGCCGTCGTCCAATGTCACGGTTTCTATAAAATCGGTTAAAATTGCAACAAACTCTTCTATTGACGAAGCTTGCTTTTTAAATTTGGACCGTTTAAGGGTGCTCATTGACATGATGTAACGACCAATCTTTTTCAGCATGATAAATTTCAACAAATCAATTACCATTCGTTGGTACACTCCCAAGTATACGATTCCTTCTAAACCCGTGTCAACGGCCATCGACTTGACGGTTTCAACCTTTGAGTTCACAACATCCCAATCATCTATCCCTAGATGTTCTTTCCAAAAGTCATCGAACAGAGTTGCAACAAACAACTGCGATTCACAATAAAACGGAGGACCGTGTTTCGAGGAGTAGTCCTTTTCAGTTTTAACTTTGAGTAAGTCATTCAACCTTTTTTTTGTTATCCTCGATTGCATTTTTTGCGGATGCATAATTAACCGTTGGATGTTCACCGGGGACGACGGTAATGACGTTTTTGTTAGAGTTTTCTCCGCAATTCGACCTTAAATAGTTTTCTAGTTGGGCAAATACAAAATCGTGCATCTTCCTATTCTTAGTAACTCTATCAGAATAATCAATGTCTGCAGGTTTCTCCACGATGTCTTTGTAAAAGCTGGCCATTTGTTGGGCGTGCATGTAAAACAGCCACACCTCGTTTAGTTGGATGCCTTTTTTGTTGAACAATATTTTAATCATGTTGGTTGATTCACGAGCGAATGAAAGTTCATCGGTTGGAAATCGTTTAATAAGCTCTGGTTTCGGTTCCAAACACAAATTCCTTGTCCAATACATATGGAAATGGGCACTGTTAATGAATCCGCGTTTAAGATTATTATGTTTCAAGGACGAATTTTCCCCTCTGATATTAACAATAGGTGTTTTCGATGCAGGTACTTGCGTTATTGCGCTTAACAGTTGACCAGCAGAACATTGTTCTCTTTGAGGAATGTCCGGCGTACAATTTATTTTGGCAACACATTCGATTGTAACACAAAAAATGGCTATCTACATTTTCGTCGAAATCATTTTTGTTAATTTGTACGTTTTCAAATGACGCTTTGAATATTGTATTATAACAAGTAACGCGTAATAAGATCTACATGATATTACACATTTTACATTCCTTATTATCCGCATAGATGTATTTTGTTTCATACACTTGTTAACAATAATGTGTTTTGTTGTAAAAAATATAATATTTGTACGTTGTGTTTTACCTATTTCGCCGGTTTGATGGCTTTGGATAAACAATTGAGTACACAATATTGTGGTAATTTAGCATAATCTTGTTTTTCCCGAAGGGTGTGTTAGATATTTTTTTTGCATTTTTACTTGTAGCAGGAAAAATTATTATAATACTATAACAGCGAGAAGTATGCTCTACAAAAAAAACCTTCCATGTTTTTTTTTGTGTGAAGACACGATAACTTTTTCAACTTTGGTACACTATAACTAACTTGGCGAATAACCATCGGTATTAGGTGGACATTTTTATAAAATATTTGTTAGGCATGTCTCTGTCCACGAATTGCCTCAAACCCAATTTTCTACCACCACCACCCTCCCTCCGGGTTGTTACAAGATTTATACATTTTTCTGGCTCAATTATAGGATTTAACAGCTGAAAATTAGTCAGAATTTAGGTCTAAAATATACATATAACAAGTGTACAAATAAAAAAATAAAATGTCAAATTTTTGTTTATAACGAAAAAACCCAATAAGGGATTAAAGGCAAGTTAAACCCAATACCCGTGGATTATTATGGATTAAAAACTTGAAATTTAGTACATGGCCTTCCTATAATAGAATGCTTTGTTGCGAATTTATGAATACTTAAACTTCATGTACTTTTATAATAAAATAATTTTTGTAGGTACAATTCATTTAAATTGTATCACAATAATTGACTGTGATATTTTAGTTTTTTTAATTTTATGGCATTACTTTTATTGTTTATTTTAAGGTGATTGCATGCGATCTGGTTTTAAGGAGTTTTGTATAGGCAATATTAATTAAGAGAAACATTGGTTTTAATAAAATTCTACAATGTCAATATATTTACCAGTAAATTTGTATAAGCTTCTAGGTATTATTTTTAACTTAAATCATTTGCTCTATAAGTAAAAGCTATTTTGGTTTATTTTTGGCCAAAAAGAACTCTTATACCTTTTACAGAATTGAAATCGGACCATCCTGAGTAGTCGAAATTACATACATACATTTTTACAATATTTATTTGAAGAAATCAGTCGACGTTGATTGTGCCGTTAATTGTAAACCTATTGAGTTATTTTAATATCAAAAAGAAGTACATAATAATATCTATCTTGAAAACGGAATGAAATAATTACAGAAAAATAAAAATGTTTAATAACTGATCGCATCAGGTGGCATATAGCCTGAATTGCTGTAATTGAATAAAATCACATGTCCACCAGGAGGAATAGCGAGTGAAGTTATACTGGCATGGTCCAAACTAAGGCGCAACCACGCTTCCGGCGGTAATTGCAACGCCCTATGCATAGTAAAATACAAAAAAAATAAATATATACTTAAAAATTTAATGTTACTAATTTAACACAACAATCACCTCATAACGAAATATCTGATAACGTTGGCGTGGCAAACAATAATTTCATACGAATCTTCTGTTTGTTCAGGAGGCGCTCTATGAAAGAATTTTCTGAAGGCAGCCTCAATTTGAGCTCCTTCTTGATAAAACTCCTAAAATACAATTTTGATTATAGTTTAACAATAATATTTTACTGTTGTCACTCGCTTTCCTACATAATCATCGGGTTTCCAACGTGGATGGGGTGGATCCGGTGGTATTGGAGCCCCTTCTCTTAGTAAGTCGGTCGAACTTACAGGTATATCTCCAGGTAAATGTTTTTGAATCAACGAACAAGTTTCCATTGCTCGTGTCATGGTCGACTGAGCAATTGAAGTCCATGGTAATTTTAATGCACTTAAACGTTCTCCAGTTAACAAAGCTTGTTTTCTCCCTTAAAGCAAAAAAAAATAAAGGTTACACAATTTTCTTTGATCAATAATATTATAATAATTAACCATGTTCCATATTTTAAGATAAAACATACCGAGCTCAGTCAGTTGTCGTTCTTTGTCAGTTTCACCTTTTGTATTGTATTGGCCGTGTCTAATGAGAAAAATGTACCTGACTGCTTGGGATACTTTCCCATCCGAACTGTTATGATTTTGAGTGTTATCCGGGTAAGGTGATTTCACGATACTGACCGGTTGACGTCTAGAAATCAAACATTCAGATACATAAAATCACATACTCACATGCTTGAAAATGTAATTGAAATAAATAAATACAAATCATATTTTATTTTGACGACCACTTGGTTTATTTGCTTCAATTATTGTGCGTTAATGTCAGTGGTTTAGTTAAGCATACAACGTTTACAGCGGACATCATATTATAAACACATAGGTATGACATTGACACAACAAAATAAACAGTTATTAAAACTTGAATGGGGTATTATATTTACACTATTTACACGCCTTGCGGTTACTCCCATTTGGATATCTTGACTGGTTAGCCAACGTTTGCTCAGTCTACGGGAGAACGCGGTGCGAGCAACATCGAACCAGAGCCCTGAAGATGGAAGTGTTTCGAAACGTTGGCGAACCAGTCAAGATATCCAAATGGGAGTAACTGCAAGACATGTAATTAGTGTAAAAAAATATACAGTATCGACATACGATTGGCTTACCTACCTGTCCCAGTTTGCATCCCACTTGGATTGTTTGTTTTCAGAAATATTGTAATGTCGCTGTTGATTTCCATCGCTTAACTCAGTCTTGTTGAATCCATAATAATAATATGTGACTAGACTACCGCAAGTCGCACCTACGCCTAATGTAACTAACGGACGTAAACGGGAAAACTTGGCCATAATCATAATATGATGAAACAAAAAAACAAATAGGTACTAAAAATGCAAATTAAACGAGTTGCCGTTGGAACTTACTCGAATATTTAAAAAAAAAAAAAAATTGCAGTATATAACTTGAAGAAAGTCCGAAGTTGCGTTGCGTTCATTGATAACAAAATATATTATGTATTAATATTATTATCTACCATGATTGCCTTGCAGCGTTATCTTATCCAAGGAGTAAACAAAAAATGATAACAGCAAATGACACAGATTTTATACAAAACTAGATTTCCAACTAGTGATAAGAATGGAAGTCGATGTTTTTGGAACTAGTATGTTATCTTTGTTTATTAAACAATTAATTCGTTTATTTACGGAATTGAAATCGGACCATCCTATGTAGTCAACATTTTGTCTGGCTTTTTAGACAAAAACTTACCGCTTTCAATCCCTCTGAATAAAATATTGTTTAAAATAATTATAAATGTTAAATAATTTATTACTTGAAACAAAAATTATAAAAATATTTCTTGTACGCTTTTATTTGAGTAAACAAAATTTTACTCCGAATAAAAAAATCATTTAATTTACTAAAAATAATGTAAATTATATGGTTTTATTAATTTAAAATAACTTTTTTATTTGTAATTAAAAAAAAATGTCCATGTTAACCTAACCTAACCTTTGAGTCATTGAGGTATTATATTGAAACCATCTTTTTAATATTTATTGCCATTCTTAATTGTTTATTTAAATCACCGTCAAAATAATTTTCAAAAAAAACAAATATATAAATATTATGTAACTCAAAGGATTAATTTGCTGAACAAATTGAAATCAAATGAAGTATTTTTAAAAAAAAAAAACCCCGAGTGTAGATTAACTCATCACAATAGTCTTGTCTCATCCATATGTAGTACGCTATTCACATAACCTAGCTTAATTAATATACTACATCAAAATGAAATTTACCTAGAAAAATTATATTTTCCCAAAATCAAAACATACAAAAACCAACCATATATTATAATAAGCTGTATATAGTATATTCAAATTCATTATATGGAATGTAGATACTAAACAACGGAATGCCTACCATTTATTTTTTGTTCTAAATTATCAGAATTTATGTCTTACAATTTAAAAACATCTTTGTTTTCATTTGACGTTACATATTACATAGTACATTATATATTATTTTTAATTAAAATAAATTAAATATTTATACTTTATACAATTATTTCATTGGCATTGTAATTAAAAATAATATAATGTTAGAAGTCGGGTCAATTTAATTTCGTTATCAATGCAATTATCAACATGCGGAGTACATACATAAGTGGAAACAACATTTAGATGATTTGACATAATGGAAAAATAGGATAAAAATAACGTAACAATGTGTACACCATGATGGGAATATTTAAATATCATTTAAGTAATTATTATAATATTGAGTGTTTTTTTTTTGCGTTATGCCGCAACATTTATCAGCTATTGCTAATTTAGGTACTTAGCTGTATTTATAGCATGTAAACACGTTGGTATTTGCCATACTTACTCTTCTAGCCCCTCTCCTTTCAAGAATAACTTTGCAATCCGGGCATTTATATAAGGACATCAATTCTACCAACAACACTGAACACTTTTAGTCTGCTTACACATTTCAATCGTCAACGTCGTGTGGGATTACTGAATTTTATTGGTCAAAGCAAATTATATAGGCAATTTCGTCTAAAAAACTCTAAACTATAAATTTGTAAGTCTGTTTTAATTTTTCTATTATATCCATAAGGTTTAGGTTTTCATTTTTATCACTTCATGTAGTATTTAACGGTTTATAAGCTCATTTGTGTACAGACATTATTCGAAATATAATATATTTAATAACTTGAAAATTACTTTTTTGTAAATAATAAGTTATAAACATGTAAGGTAATTTCCAATACGTAATGACAATTAAATTCACTAATTCACTCGTCACTAGACCCGGATATTATTTAAATAATAAATCAATTTGCACTCGAATGAATTTAAACAACTATTAAACGATTAATTATGTTATTTTCCCAAAGTTTAAACGTCAAAAAGCGTCTTTCTAACATCGATTCCAACCCAAATAAGTTATGATTGTATTTAATTTGTTAATGTTTTTTGTTTTGTTTTATAATTTTAGTGTTTTTTTTTTTTTTTACAGCTTTGGAAATAATTGGCCATTAGCTGTTGGTTGATTTTTTTTTTGGGTTCGTTTTGGAAGGGTTTGTATCACAACTTAACGTCGGTTGCTTTTAGCATGTTTTACTTATGTTAATAATATTGTTCTGTTTTCAGCAAAAATGGCTTCCGCTAAAGTAGCGTTACTTTTCATGGCTCTAATAGCTTCGTCGGTCGTACAAGCCGGGCCATTAGGAGCTGGCGCTTGCATGACTGGGTGTTCTGGACATGTTGTAGCATGTTTTTCAGCTGCCGGGTTTTCCTTAGGTAAAGTTCCTAAGGATGTTATGGCGAATACACCTTCTTTAGCAGGGTGCAACGCCGCTTATGATGCGTGTAAAGAGGCCTGTCTGATCTTATCATTTTTGCCAACTCCATAAAATGGTCACACCTAAAATTACGGTTGTGTGGCATACTCCTGAAGACTTAATTTTTTTATTTAACTGTTTATTTTACTGACCCTACAAAAAATAAAATACGAGGTTTATAAATTATAGCATTATCTGTATTTATATTAAGAGGGCGTCGCACAGCCCATTTTTAAGGAGTAAAGTATAGGCAATTTTTTATAAAATCTTAATTTAAAGGTTCAACTGTGATCTGTAATTATTATTTCAATAACTAGGACTCTATTTTGGTAGTTAATTTATTTTTTGGACTATCACAGCATCCTTGAAAGCGATTTAGTAATGTTTTTTCGTCTCTACATGTTTAAGCACACTGAAAATAATTCGCTTAATTTTGGTTTTAGAGTAAAAGCACCCATTATAAAATTAAAAGAAAACAATATGCCGGAGGGCAAGACGGTGCGTTTTTTTCATTGTTTCAATTGTAACGCTCAATTCATAGTTAAGAAATAACGACTATTTTAACATTTTTAAATGACTGTAATTAATTTTTTTTAAAAAACGCACCGACTTGCCCTCCGGAATATTGTTTTCTTTTAATATTATAATGGGTGCTTTTACTCTAAAACCAAAATTAAGCGAGTTATTTTCAGTCTGCTTAAACATGTTTTTAGCACTGAAAATCACCGGTGCGACGCCCTCTTAAGATGTTTGTAGTGTTAATATATTTGTCGGTAAAATACGATTAAGAACGTTTTACCATTTTGGCCGAACGATTGAGAAAACTTAAAACTCACAAAGAACTTACCGCTGACCCACAAAAACAGTACGATTGAGAACGAATTCAACGTTGCCATATCGTTTATTTAGCTATCGAACGATTCAGCACATTGTATGTAAATAAAATATTAAAATGTTCACAAATTATATTAATTATATCAAAATTGAATAAGTATTAATCAGCATGTTGTATTTTTTTGGTCATTAACAATTAATGTATATAAACAAAATGTGTAATACAATTATTCATATCATAGTCATAAGTTTAGTTGTAATAATATTTTTAAAAAATGAGACGCTGAGTAAATGTATTTGCCTTAAAATCATAAAAAAGTTTTTGTAACCTGGATATCGTAGGCCAACATACCTCGAATATTTTAATAAATTAACCGAAGTTGTATTTTCTACATACCACTTATGTTTATTATTAATGTCTAAAAATGCATCTTCGACTTCCTCATGATTTAAAAATTGAAGACCATAACATATTTTAAGCCACTTTTCTAGGCCATCAGACTTTGTATATGCGTTTCGAAGTTTATTTTCGCTATTTATCTAAACAAATTAAATGTTTTAACTAAATTATAATATGTACTTATATTTTATTGTTATAATTTTTTAAGTTTTATACTTTTTTGAATATTATTTTAATAAATAATATAAATACAAAGTATATAAATATCAACAAATTATAGTGTTCGACCGTTCGATAACAATTGCTAAATATGGCAACCTTGGAAAAAAATAAACTCTATCGAGCGTTCTCAATAGTAACACTAAAAATTCCGTTCTCAATCGCCCGATAGCCATAATTGTGCCGTTTAATAGTGTTATTGTATATATTATTATGTATACAATGACAGTATAAAAATTCTGATTTCATAACTATGCCATTACATAGATATTGTAGTATAAACATTTTTACAATATTTAAATTATAACGATGACAAGACGAGATTTAAGAATATTAGTTGAGTCGTTAGAAATATTATTGTTGTAAGAAAACATTTAATTATTAACTTATACCTATACTCATCGAGTATAGACTCCACGGTAACTATGGTTGGCTATATAAAGTGAATATTTAATTAATCTTTATTAACGTTCTCTCTTACTACTTACCCTTTTCAACGACAAACAACAACTGATATTATGTTTTTTAAAGCTTATTTATATAATATTTAGAACAAAAAAAAAACATCAGTTAAACCAAATGTTACTTATTAACGGTAACTTAAATTTATATTCAATTAGCCAAAATTTCCAGTACATATGAAAATGGGCACTGTAAATCACCCCGCATTTAAGATCATTATACTTCAAGTGCACTGTGCAAATTGTGACTGCTGTAAGAAATAGGTACGTATGCTACGGCTGTTAATGTGTTTAATATTTTACCAACACAATGTGTCTGGTGGAATTTCCGGTGCACAATTAACTATTTACCATATTTTTAATTTTTATGTTTTAAGATAACACTGAATTAATATTTATTGTATGCGACGCATATTAGACCTATGTAACATTACATTAAAATATTAAAGTTAAAAATCGGTTACCTACTACTTTTTTGGTTTATCGAACTTATGTCGACGTTTAGATGCTAAAGAAAAACTGAGTATTATTTAAATCGCTGAACCAAATTAAAAAATCTCACCCTTTCTTCTTCAAAATCGATAAAAACACTAAAAAAATACATATTTTTCAACTTAAAATTTCTGTGCTCTAGAACTTTTTTTTTTTAAACAGTCGATTTAGTTCTGAATTTGTATGGAATTTTCTTCAGACGTAGTACTATTGATAAACATTGACAAACCAAAAAAATATCATGAACCCTTCCACCCAGAAGTGCTCGAAACTTCGCCTTTATTTATCGTTTGTTATTTAAAACAATTTTCTCAAAATTCTGTAGTATTTTATTATTTCATAGAAGTATCTGTTACAGTGTACATTGGAAAGAAATAGGATGTCGCCAAAAGTCTGAGTTTGTAGAGGAGAAAGAAATATTGTATATAGTACTAAATACAGTAATTTACTTTTTTATTACTTTTTTAATAGTCAAATAGTCTTAAGATGTAATAAACCTATTTTGTACCTATAACAAAATTTTTTCAGTGTTCATCAATAGTTGTATAAACTTTAATCCACAAAAAACCTTCAAACCTAATTACAATACTTTAGTCATCAGACAATAGCACTCAGTCAATGTCTTCGCCATTTCACTATTTTGATAAAAACACGATATTCTCAACAGCTCTTGACTTTCAAACGGTTTCATAAAACAAATAAAAGATAATTTTAACATAGCTGTAGACAATATAATCAAATACATTTTCATTAAAAATAACAAGTTACTTTAAACAGTCAAATAAAAGTGTATTCAAGGGGATTTATTTGGGGCGGTTTTTAAGGAGCTATGTATAGGCAATTTACGAAAAAAAGTGTATTTAATAAATTTCGACCATGTCAATTTATATTTAGGTTAATTTGTACAAGCTTCTGGATTTTATTTTTAACGTATACCTTGTTTTCTGAGTAAAAGCCATATTGATGGTGAAAAATACTATGACAAAATTGTGAGACTTCGTCTAGTCTAATTTTGGTTTTGTAAAAAGACAGTAATTTGTTTAGCTACTTTACAGGTTTATGTTTATAACCGATTTTCATTTAGAAAATCAGTTTTTGTAATTAAATAAATGAAATAAGAAAATTTGTCATTATCACTACAACCAACTAGCGATATAGGTACTTATAATATTGAGTGTATTGTTTTTTCGTTATGTCACAACATTTATCAGTTATTGTTTTATTAGGTACTTAGCTGTATCTATAGCGTGTAAAACGGTTGGTTTTTACCATACCTACTCGTTAAGTCACTCCTTTCAAGAATAATTTTGCAATCCGGGCATTTATATAAGGACATCAATTCCACCAACAAAACTGAACACTTACACATTTCAATCGTCAACGTCGTGTCGGATCACTGAATTTTATTAGGCAAAGCAAAATATACAACAAATTTCGTCTAAAAATCTCTAAACTATATATTGGTAAGTCAGTTTTGATTTTTCAATTATATCTATAAGGTTTTGGTTTTCATTTCTATCACTTCATGTAGTATTTAACGATTTATATGCTCATTTGTGTACAGACATTATTGTAAATATAATTTATTTAATAACTTAACAATTACTTTTTTTGTAAATAATGAATTATAAATATGTAAGGTAATTTCCAATACGAAATGACAATTAATTTCACTAATTTGCTCGTCACTAGACTTGGATATTTTTTTAATAAAAACTAAATAATAAATCAATTACAAATAAGTTATCACTCGAATGAATTTAAACACCTAATAAAAGATCATTTAAATATATTTCCAATTTCAAATCTTTATAATTAGGTATTAAAATAAAAATGGACATAATAATAAGAATTTAAATTAAAAAAATATTTAAATGAAATTCTAGGAAACTTTGTAGGAGAATTATATTTGGCTAGAGATTAAGCTTCATATGGCTGCTTAGTCTCAATTCCAAGGTGAAAACGTTATAATCTTAGATAACAAAAAGCTTAATTAGTTTAAGGTAAATCTCCTATTAAATAATATATTTTTTTTTTTCAACCTATATTAGGTTGGTTTACAACGTTTTAACTTCGCTCTCCATTTATCACGATCTTCAGCAAGTCTTTTTAATCCGGCGTAAGTATCAATCCCTGCGTCATTTTTCAGTTGAGATATGTACGAGTTTCTTGGTCTTCCTGGTGGTTTTCGTCCTTCAATTGCACCTTCTATTATAGTATGATGCAATTCTTCGTCATGGCGTAAAACGTGTCCCATCATGTCCCATCGTCGTCGCTTTATGGCTTTAATTATGGATCTTGTTTCTCCAACTTGGGTCAGTACATCTTCATTTGTTACTCTTTCTGTCCAGTTTATTTTCTCCATACGTCTCCAACACCACATTTCGAATGCATCAAGGGATCTTTTTTCCTTTTCATTAATGACCCATGTCTCGCAGCCGTATAAAGCTACACTCCATACAAACGTTTTTAAAAATGTCTTCTTAATTTCTCTGCTAATTTTTTTCGAAACCAAAATTTTCTTTTTCTTGATAAAAGCTGCCTTTGCTTGCCCGATTCTTTGTTTAATTTCCTGAGAGCTTTTTCCGTCTGATGTTATTAAACTTCCCAAGTATTTAAAACTAGAAACTTGGGAAATAAGTTGGTTTTCTAAATAAATATTTGCGTTAATTGTGGGTTCACGTGCACAAACCAAAATTTTTGTTTTACCTGTATTTATACGCATTTGATACTTATTTATAATTATTTGCATTTCTGCCAGGGCTCTCTGAAGGTCGTGCTCTGTTTCTGCTAATAATACGATGTCGTCTGCAAACCGGATCATAATAATATTATATTTCAAATTATGTACAATTTCAAATAATTGTATTTAAAACAATACATAACATGTATTTCTAACATGTTTTATTTGATACAGTATATAAAAAAATACTCCGAATAAAAATCCTTAAATTTGCTAAAAAAAAGTTTTGTAATTAAAAAAAAATAACGAGTCCAGGTTTACTTATCACAATAGTCTTGTCTCATCCTTATGAAGTTTGCTATTTACATAACTAAGCTGTTTATAAACGTTGTCTTATTTACCCAGAAAAATGATATTTTCTCAAAGTTTAAATGTCAAAAATGCCTTTCTAATATCGATCCAAACTAAATAAGTTATGATTGTATTTAATTTGTTATTGTTATTTTTTTGTTTTATCATTTTAGTGTTATTTAATTAATTAATTTAATAATTTTTTTTAAAAGCTCCGGCAACTTTGGCCATTAGCTATTGGCTGATTGTTTTTTTTGGTTCGTTTTGGTGGGGTTTGTATCACACCTTAACCTCAAGTTTCTGTTGTAGCATGTTTTACTTATGTATATAATATTATTCTGTTTTCAGCAAAAATGGCTTCTACTAAAGTAGCGTTGCTTTTTATGGCTCTAATATTTTCGTCAGTCGTACAAGCCGGTCCAATTGCAGCCAGTATTTGCTATGCTGGATGTGCTACAGTGGCTCTAACATGTTTTTCAGCTGTAGGTTTTACCTTTGCAGTTCCAGGGTCTGTTATAGCGTGTCAAGCGGCCTGTGTGGCCGCATATGATTGGCCAACTCCATAGAACGGTCACACCTAAAATTACGTTTGTGAGGCATACTTTTAAAAACTAATTTTTGTTTATTTTACTGACCCTACAAAAAAAAAAATTAGGTTTATAAATTATAGCAATATAATATAGCTGTTTATTTTTTTATCTGTACCTATTTATATTAAGATGTTTGTACTGTTATTATGTTTGTGCCGTTTAATAGTATTATTGTACATAATTGTATGTATACAATGACACAGTTAAAAGTCTCATTTAATAACTATGCTATTACATTAGACATTTTTACATTATTTAAATTATAATGGTGACATGACGAGATTTAAGAATATTAGTTGAGTCGTTAGAAATATTATTATTGTAAGAAACATAATTTTTTTTCTAAATTATTAACTTATATATTACTCATTGAGTATAGACACCACGGTAACATTAGTAGGATATATTATGAAGTGAAAATTAATCTTTAGTAACGTTCTCTCCTACTCTTTTCAACAACAAACAACAACTGATATGTTTTTGACATGGTTATGTCTACCTAGTACTATCTTTTAACAGTATTATATGTATTTACTGCGAATATCACTATTTTAAAAAAATACCAATTTAATGGATCTATTTAGACGATGAAAAGGAAATCTTAAAAAAAAAATAGGCACGGAAACAAAATACGAATAGGTACAATAAAATAAAACAAAAGCCAAGACATTTAGTTTCATTTTCCCCTTTTAATTATGACGTAGTTAAGTTAAACAAAAATTACTTATTATAAATAATTGACAAAATATATAAAAATTATACATTCCTCAAAATATTTTGTTTTGATTTTTCCTATGTTATTAGCTTCAGTGCAGAGCTGCGAAGTTATTGTTTTAACAATGATGTGTTTTTAATTTTATTTTTTTATTTTTGTGTCTGCACTCAAGATATCTCGTAAACTGCTGAACCATTTCTTCGTGTAGCAACTCTATAGATCAGAATTCATACCTCGAAGGTACTTTATTAGGCCAGAAATTAAAAAAAGTAAAAATCGAGAAAAACACCCAACAAATTTACAAATTTTACTTTTTATAGTACTTTTTATAGACTTTTTAAAATTGTTTTACTGTAATAAATATTAATTTTTTACTTGTAGTTACCCGCTAAAACAGACTAACTCCTCAGAAATGTTGATGGAAAATTACAACAATAACATGTACGTAAAAACGAGATTAGTTATGTTTAATATGCCCCTATACGGCAAATTAATATACACCTAAAAGCCACAATTAATTCATACCATAATTAGACTAAAATATACAAATACTCGTCTATCATACCAGACTTTGACGGCTAATGCCAAAAAAATGTATTCACTCGAAACTAGTCCAGACATTATTTTAAATATACGGCTAACACTATTTCATGGAACAACATAAGGTAACGTGATATTTAAATAATTACATTTTCAAAATATTTAGTATTATACATATTATAGTAAATAAAACACCATTGGGATTTTATAATAAAATATTTGATGGACTTTTGATACCACAAAACACAAATATTAAAATTTCATGTCGACAATGTAGTTATCTCTTGTATTCCACAGCAAATTTGGGTACGCTTTGTTAATAATTATCTCATTGACCATTTTGGCGAACGAATGAATATACCGAAAAGTGGAAGAAGTTCCGAATACATTTTTCAATTTATCGACAAATTTTCTGGCTGACTCCACAATTGCTTCAGTTGTTGTTTTTATATTATAATCATAAATTGACAACGAGTATCCACTAGGGTATTGCCAAGCATTTGTTATTGTATCGATTTCAAGTTTAATTTGTTTGACTACAATATCCAGTTGCTGTTTGTTTGAGTTTTTCAAATAATCAAAATGTATAGAATTTGTTATCGTTGCAAAGAAATGGTCGTCATCCAATGTCACGGTTTCTATAAAATCGGTTAAAATTGCAACAAACTCATTTGTTGATGAAGTTTGTATTGTAAATTCGTTCAGTTTAAGAGTGCGTATTGATATGACGAAACGACCTATATTTTTCAGCATGATTAATTTCAACAAATCAATTACCATTCGTTGATACTTCCCGGTGTATTTTATTCCTTCTAATCCTGTGTCATTGGCTTTCGCCATAAGGTTATTCAACTCTGGAATCACAAATTCACTGAAATCGTCCGACTCTAGATTTTCTTTCCAAAAACCATCGAACAGACATGATTTGTTCAAACTGTGAAAATACAACTGTGACAAACTGTAAAACGGAGTACCGTAGTTCGTGGCGTAGTCATTTTCGGTATAAGCCTTGAGTAATTCATTCAACATTGTTTTGTTATAAATTATTGCATCTCGAGTGTATATATATTCATAAACAACTTTTGTTTCATTTTTACCTGTAACGGTAACTGCGTTTTCGTAGTACTCACAGTGTTCACAATTTTTATCAAAATAATAATTATCTTCACAATTCAACCTTAAATAGTTTTCTAGTTCGGCAAATACAACATTGTGTATCGCCATGCTCTTGGTGAACGTTGTGTCATAATTATTATTATTGTCTATAGATTTGCCGACAATAGTTTTTTGCTGGAAGCTGGCCATTTGTTGAGCGTACATGTAAAGCAGCCATAGCTCATTCAGTTGGATACCTTTTTTGAAGAACAATACTTTAATTATCTTGATTGATTCTTGAACGAATGAAGTTTCATTGGTCGATAGTTGTATAATACTATTCAGATACAGACACTTTGGTGAATACTGATTTTTGGTCCAGTACATATGGAAATGGGCACTGTAAATCACCCCGCATTTAAGATCATTATACTTCAAGTGCAAATTGTGATTGCTGTTAGGAATATGTACGTATGCTATGGCCGTTAGTGTGTTTAATATTTTACCAACACAATGTTCTTTTTGCGGAATTTCCGGTGCACAATTTACTATGGCAACGCATTCGATTGTAATACAAAAAATAACTCTCCACAATTTCGTTAAAACCATATTTTTAATGTTTATGTTTTTAGATAACACTCTGAATTGATATTTATTATATGCGACGCATTTTAGACCTGTATAATATTACACATATTACATTAAAAATATTAGAGGTAAAAATCGATTACCGACTACGTTTTTGGTTTATTGAACTATGTCGACGTTTAGTTGCTAAAGAACAACTGAGTATCATTTTAATACAAATTCTTTTGTTTGAATGGTACGTTAGGCATTTTTTTATCTTCGACGAGGAGCTGAGAACGTATTGTTCTTACAATGTCGAAAGGTAGGTATACTTTAAACATCAACTGAATAAACATTGTGTATAAAGTTGGTTAGATACTGTTTTTTTAAATTATACTTTGGTAAATTTATTGGTTGTAGTTTATGTATTTTGTTATAGTACATATAGCTACAATGGCTTGTACCTAAATATTTTTCTAAAATCGCTTCTACGCAATGAGACAAATATATTGATAATTTGAATATAAAAGACAAACAGCTTAAATGGGCTAAAAAAGTTATTGCATTGAAGCTAAAAACTTTTGTCAATTTTGTTTTTAGTGGAAACCCGAATAAGTGACTCGAACACTATAAGCGTGGTCTCTGATGACTGTTATGAGTTTACAAACTTGAAATTAGTAAATGACCTTCGTTTTTTGCTTCAATGCAAATCTTAGTAATGAATTTGATTATGATGAAATCACATTCAAATTTAAAAATTTATTTGACCCAACCTAGCTAACTAGGCCTTACATTTTTAAAATTTAAGCCCCCCCTCACAATTGTTTTTTATTTTGTGGAAAACAAGTTGTTTTTCGGTTTATGAAAGTTGAACTTGCTTGTATGACAGCGTACTATATTGTTACAAATATTATAGCGAATTTTGTACACATTTTGTACATAGATATTCTTGAAGACATGTAAGATCTCCGTCCCCATTGTACTGGCTTTTTTTATATTCTAGGCGTGAATCATAAAAACACATATTGTTTTTTTTCATATCGCTTAGTTTAAAGGTGTATACGTTTTAAAGTTGTTGTTATTTTTGTTATTATGTTATTTTATATGATACATTGGCCATAGCTGTAATGTAAACAAATTGTTTACGATTGTGTGCTTGTTAAAGTACGAACTTGTTATTGTAAATGGGTCACAGCAGATGTTCTTTTAGTGTTCATTTCCAGACTTTAGTCGTATACTACACATAAATACGCCTATATAAAATGTAGTATTACAAAAATGTAATACAATTATTTATCCACACTGAGATGGGGTACAAAAAGTACATACTATGGATACATTATTAGCGAGCCATAGCTACTATGGCCTATGTTTAATAGGCTAAATAATTCCAAACAAACTATTAACTTTTTGTACTTCTAAACAAAAATGTTTTTTGTATAATACATTTAAATTGTATCACACTAATTGATTGTAGTTAAATCGAATACAGATATATATATATTATAACTTATATTTATAAATGGTTTTTAATGGTAAACATTGATCAAAATGCTTTTTCAAAGTATTTAAATTTGTAATCTTTTAATATCATGACATTACTTTCATTATAAACGTTTTAACGGTACATTCATTATGTCGATAATATTTTACTTATTTTAATCCAATCTATTATTTAGACTCTAAACTGTTTAATTTTTCTTTTTAATTTGCAAAATAAGTGAACGAATTAACTTTGACAACACAAATTATAAACGAACTTCTCTTTTCTTTCTACAAAGGTCCCTTTACTTGTATTCGAAATAAACTAATTATTAAGTAAAAATCTATACATATAATTGTCCTGTATTGACCAAACTTTTACTTTCTCTTTGGTTTTTTTATCAATTGGCAGCGCTATCACATCTAAGCTCGTTTTTAGAGTCTGAGATTTTATTTTGCAGAAAACAATAACCATGCTTTTACTTTTGAAAATCGAATTTCTGATTGATTTGCTGGCACTTTGTAATTAGCTTTTAAATTGTTTTAGTGTTTCGCATAGATTGCTTACTAAAAAAAATTATCGACTCAAGGCAGGACCGAGGCATGTCTTTTAGAGCAGGGCTTATAACATTTATTATATTGGCGGCCTGTCAGTTTTCGATAGAAGTTCGACATGCAGCCCGCGTTACCTACCTTTTTTATCTTGAAACTTATCGTTGATTTATTCTAAGTAATCCACTAGGTTTTGAAATCGAAAATAAAAAATAAAAAATTATCCCAGAACTCCCAAAAGACTTCTGGTAATCGAAAATGAAATACAAATTTATATTAGCAGTGTAATAATACATTATATTACACTATTATATTACATAGTACTTTACATTGAGTACATTGTATAACACTTAAATTTATTATTGTTGGTTAATTTTGACACAGTTACAACAATATATTTTGATACAATTAACTATGTACTCATCCTTGTTTTGCGGACATATCTTTCGGCGTGGGTCAAACGACAAAAGCTTTTGGGGGGCCGTCTAATGTAAAAACAGGCTAGCCAGTTACAAATCCCTCAGGATATCTTTAGTAGTATAATACATGTGTTACAGAATATAAACTAATTATACGTACACTCTGGTGCTGAGTTGTCTTATCTGGCAAGTTCAACCAAAAGAGACGTTAAATTGTCACTGAAACAGTTCTCTTCGGTGTGGGTAATACGAGTATAAATAGCTATAGTCATAGAATTTATGAAAGTTTTCTATTACTGATGTTTAATTACTAAACTCATTGTTGTAACTGAGTCGTCGAATCTAAAAATATTTATTTTTTAAAATAATGTTCAGTTATAATATTTCGGAAACATTTTAGATTACATTTTATCTCAGAAAGCTGAACACAAAAAAATACTTCAAATTTTTGTACTCTATCTTTTAATTATTATTATCTTTACTTCATCCGCTACAGAAGTAATCATTTTAATCGCAGGGAAGACTTATTGGGCTATATCTATCTTTAACGATATCCTATAGCCACTATAGGATAGTGCAAACCCATTGAAGAAGAGTTGTGGTCGATTATTTTTTTTTTGTCTTTTAATAAATTCTAACCATTAAGGTGTTTTTCCCCAATTATCCAAAATGTACAACACTTTAAATATTAAAATAAATTACAGTGATCGAATAGCATTGTGGCAAGATGAGATATTGCTCGTACAATGCTTATATTTTAATATTGACAGATGACTTTAGAAGTTCAAAGCTATCAATTCAGAGCTGACAACAAACAAAAATGGTTTTATCCGAACGATTTTTAGATGTAACTCGCTATTGTACCCTCAACGAATTAGCGGTCCTGCGCAAACCCATAATACAGTGATATGTAAGTACCAGTATAGTTTGTGAAGTACCGGCCTTGGGTGAAACGTGCGGGGAATGAAAAATAATCAGTCTTCACGTGACACCGGAACGATGAGAGCCGTCGTTTGTTTGTTTTGGATTATGCGCTGTTCCGTTTTTCTAATACACAGTGATTTATACAGTCAATAATATTATGTGCAACAAGTGCATAAAGTCTATCACAAAACAGTGTGTTTACAATACCTACCGTCTTGTCCGTTTGTTGTGTTAGACAAGTATGGCAAGCAATACAGTTGCCACAATCTTAGACCGGATCGTTACAGTAAGTATACTTATGCATAATTATGTCTATCACCAACTGTTCATCTACAAGACATGGTTGTGGTTCGAATGTTAATAGATTATATTTTTAATTAAAGGTGCCATATAAATACTTGAGATTTTCAATAATTCCTAAGCCGAGCTCTGATCTGCTTGGATTTTGTCCAGCAGTGTTTTTACCTAACAACTCAGAGAATGTCATCCCACTGTTATTTTAAACTTACAACCTTTTTCACTCGTGTAATATTATTATAACCAAATCGATTCAATTTTAAATCACAAATCGATTACCGGTTTTCCATATCGTAATTGAAGTATCTAAATACAAAAAATGTTTTTAAGCAAACTACATTTCACAATACTTGTAACTTATCAGATTTATGTTTACAGTATTATATTATGTTGTTATTTACTGTCGAAAAACACTTCCCCGAACCATACACAAGTTTTTAGTAAACTTAATTTTTATTCGATGTCGAACAGTCGAAAAAAAATCAGGTCTTTGCCAGAATAAAAATATTTTAATTATACAAATAATTTAATATAAGCAATTGTTTTATCAAAAATGTTTTATTAAAAGTCCTTTTTTGTTTTTTTTTTGTCAATCCGTAGATTGGTTTAATTATACAATGTTCCTGTATCCTTCTCTATCTGTAGCGACTTCCAACTCCAATTCCAATTTTTTTTTCTAATAAAAATGTTATAAAAATGTTTTAAAAAGTCTACCCACAAAAAGTCAGCAAAAATGGTCAATATAGTTTATTCGTACAGCAGTTTTTAACTTAAATTAAATATTCGGCCTGAACATAACAATATGGATAAAATATTATTTATAATGTGTTGTTATACAATTTTAAGTACCCATAAACCGTTTGGTGATAATTCGTTTGCGATTGTATCGCTTTAACGACTGTTTTTTTCCATAAAAAATTTCCCCCATAGTGGGGGGGGGGAAGGAATTCTCACGTGTGAGCGTTTCATTATTGCACCATTTACATTTATAAATAATTACAAACGTATATTATATATAATATTATGTATATGTGTACACTGTGTTTCATGTATATGGCTCTCATCAAATAAAAAAAACCCCTTACAAATTCTTTTAAGTTATGTACGTGTTATCCTTATATTATATATATATATATATTATAAATCGGTTTTCGAATACTTGAAATTATCAAAATACACACTCGCACGTTAATAATTGTTTTTTTAATGACAAAAAAATATTGTAGAAAAATAATTATACTTTATTTAAACTTCTCTTTAGGTACTTGGTGATACTGTACTATTCTTGTTGATATTATGTGAAATTAGATGTTACATTGACCGTCTTGGGAAAGCAATGTAAAGCACGGCTACAGCTGTATATAGAAAAACAAATTTGAACATCTTATTATAAACTATGCTTCTCATTTTCCCATGTAGACGCACCTTCTTTCCTCACTTTTCTTATTCAAATCTCTTCATTAACTCTCGTTTTATGTTCCACCATTAAATTATAATTATTGCTGGGTTCCTCATTTTGTGTATACCACTAATTTTGTTTTATTATTTCTTCATGTTACTGTCATGCTATTAAATATGTAAGCAAATTATATTAAGAAAATATTGTATAGACTACTTTACAAGCTTGCTTTGTGTACTCCTTTTGTATGTGTTTTTTTTTTATATTAAAGGTTGAATTTCATCGCTACCAAAAGTAAACGCATAATGAACGTAAATTATTAAATCTAATTTAATCTATTCTCTCATAAAATGGTCGTGTAAGGCTATTGTATGCTTTGAAAAGGCCAGGAGGACATACATGTCACATTTTTTATGATTTATATATCTATTCAGACAGATTCCCTTTTTCATTTACTATTTTTAAAATTTTTTTTTTAAAGATAATACGTTATACAATAAGATGTATTACTTAAATTTCGATAAAGAAGCCGTTACAAACTTTTGTTCCAGGTCAACAAGTGTAACAGAAGTTATATATAAAACCAACGAGACTAAAATGTTATAACGTTATACAAATTTAAATCGATCTAGAAATTGCCAGATGGGTGGTTTGGGGTGAATACGGATTTTCTCTGGATATTCACAAAAACAGTGTCTGCTTAACATGACTAAAGTTGTGAATGAAAGTCAGTGAAGTGAATGTGGAGGGTCTAAAACGGGAATGAAAATAAAATATATGCCACGTGTATCCCACGTGAAGCCGGTCACGTACAGATGAATGTAAAACAAATAATAATGTAATAAAACCAGAGATAATCAAAAGGCTTAAACCCATTTTAATGTGTTTATTTTTTATTATTTTCACACGTTTGAAGTTATAATAGGCGCGACGGGAAAAGGAAAATTAATGACAATACGGCCTTGGATAAGTTATTTGAATAATATACACCAAAAAATATGAATAATAATTTGACAAAAAAAAAAATCCTATCGGCGTTAAAAACGCAAAGAAGTTTAATAAGATTTTACCACGTGGTTGAGGAAACAAAAAGTATATAAACAAATGATATTGTGTGATAAAAATAGATTGGATAAACTCAACCTATTGGCCGTGTAACAAAAAGACTAGATTAATTTATGTTAATTTATTCTATTACATTAAAAGGGAAGAGGTACAAAAAGTTTTATTAGAAAAAATATGCACTACTTATGTTTAACGACGGTTTTAGGAAAAAATTCATCAATTTTCATTTTTTAAAATTAACGTATACCTAGTTTAGTATTTTTACCTTTATTTTTATTCTTTAATCGCAGAATAAAAAAAGGAAATTAGCTGAATCGAAAACGTCGAGTAGCTGATGAACGGTGATCGATCAAGAAGTATGGCGAGTAAAGATAAGCCGACGGCCGAATTCATACTTATAAAGTTGATGAAATATGGTGTCCATGAGTTGTAATCCCATTTAAAAACAAATCTAATGATTTATAGCCCCAGTTCAAAAGTGGACTTAGTGAACAGTGAAATTGATAACTCAATATTACGACGCTAGGGAAATTTTAGTATTTTTATTTTAATTTTATTATCGGATGAAAAATTAAAATATATATTTGATTCGCCGTTCGAAAACCCAGTAAATTATTTATTTACATCTTTGCCACGGACAGCTTTAATTTCTTAGCTGATTGACGGTGCACTACCGCAAAAATAAGCATATCCTACAAAAAATGTCTCATTCATTAATTTATTTTGTCGGCGCTGTAAAGTTATATTCAAAAACAAACCAACGGCGGTATGCATAATGTACGGTTAGGTATAGAAACGCGTTAGGGTATATTAAAGATTCAAGAGTCGACAGCCGACGGATAATAAATTATACAATGAAGCAATAAAAGTTGAAGCACAATTGAAATTTAATAGACATATTTAAGTAGGAGAACGGCGCGAGTAACGATAATCGAAATAACGCTTTGATTTGACTACATTATAATAGTAATAATTTAACGGTAGGTGTTTGACATTGTAAAAAAATAACACAGAGCGATTGGGGAGAAATGATAAAATCTCTTTTAAATATATGCTTCGATGCGAATCTGTGGGTAGCCGTAGGTCCAATAACCAAGCACAATATAAACCAGCACAGTGGGAAAGAAATCGTTTCAGCGATTTAAAAGATATCGTGGGTACAGACAAAAAAAAAAGACAAATCATTGTAAAAACAATACCTTCTCAGTTTACTATTTAGAGTAAACCGTTACCTATAAAAGTCTGAAAAAAGACCATTTTTAAGTATTCAAATATGTTCTAAAATATTGAATGGACCATAGTTAACCAATCGCCCTATATAATATTTAAAACATAAATAACACAATAAATTCGGTGTTTTCGTGTGAACATTTTTTTTTTCTTTTAATTTTTCAGTTGGTGTAACACTTTGGGGAAAAACAGAAATGATCATGCCAGAAGTCGTGAACGTTTCCAGTATTGACGAAGTGAGCTCTTGGAACGTTTCTGACATTGTAACGGACATTTCGTGCCAAATGAAACCATACGAGGAAACACTTGGCTCGGTTGTGTTCAAATCCATAGCCTTTGCGATAGGTATGCTCGTCATAGTCACTGCGCTCGTCGGCAACGGTCTGGTTTGCATTGTGATCACATCTTCCACACAAACGATATCCGTCATCAACACGTTAATCCTGAACATAGCCATTAGCGATATGATCATATCGTTGTTCTACTTTCCATACTTGGTAAACGTCATTTTCATGAACTACTGGCCTTTTGGCGAAGCTCTTTGCTGTATTTACACTTATTTGAATACGTTAGTCATTCAGGTGAGTTCCATTCAAACGTACCTATATATTATATAGTTTAATAGTGTGACTGCAACGAACCGTTGAATTAACTGGGAAATCGAAGAATTTGTCAAGTAATAATTGTCTCAAACAATATCAAAAAACGTACCCAAAGAGTTGCCTAAACGCCCTAAGTTTAAACCATCCAACGTTTGTTATGTGCTATAAGGGTAGTAAAATAAATCATTTGTAATCTCCAAAGGCACAAACCTCGTCGGATGTCCCTTATTAAATACCCGACAGGAGTTTGCCTTTGTCAACAATTGCCTATTCAACTCGGTCAAGTGATACCTAATAAAATAAACCACTGACACAACTGAAGACAGATGAGAATTGACAGTTCGTTAAAGGGTTTTAATTAATTATTATCTAACTAGAGTGCAATGTTCTCTGTAGAATGTCGTGAGTTGCAAGTGACACCTAATTTAGGCGTTTTAATTATTATTCATATATTGACTCACTTGTCAAATGTTAATATGTTTCTTTAGGTCAGTACCTACACAATGGTCGCCATCAGTATAAACAGGTACGTGGCAGTTATGTGGCCTTTGAAGACGCGAGCGAGCAAGCACAACGTCAAGTCGATAATCTATTTGGTTTGGACATTGTCGGCGGTTACCTCGTTCCCGTATCTGATCGCTAACGGATTGCAACAACCGTTTGTTTGGTATAAGGTAATAGTGCTTGAAGATTTATAGATTAAAAAAAAAACCTACGAACCCTTTGCAACAAATTGACTTAAATTTTACAATATCGGCCAGTGAGCCAAAACGGATCTGTTAAGTAGGATTTAAAAAGCAGGTAGTAAGTATATGATGCAACTATGATGACCAATTTTAAGTTCATTGATGTTTATGTTTTATCGGTCCAACGATGAACGTCGACTAGGTCGTTAAGGCGGATGTCGTTTGCTTGAAAAATGTTCGGAGGAAGTCTTAAAGGCCGGAAATCTTTTAGTTTTTTTTTTATTTCAAAGCAACTTTGCGCCAGTTCGATGAAACAAAACTCAAATTCCGGTTTGGGCACATTAAGCTGACGAAATTGAAGTCGTTTGCCGGCAAAAATCGTTGTACAGTTTCATTTCCAAATTAGTTCCAACTTATATGGAATATATTCTTTAGTATTCATAGTATCATCGTTGACCAACCAAACATACATTGTAAGCCCTTTCTACCAAAAGGAGTGGAAACTGTATTTCCTTATTTCGCTTTTTAGATGAAATTTTAGGGATTAAGGTACGACTTCTCGTTTATAAAATTGCTACACGAAGAAATATCAAAGGCAGAGAATTAATTGAGGTGGTTCGAAAATATCAAAGACAATGTAGTAATATCTCATAATGGCAGCGTTGGACCTTAAAGGCTCGTTAGCTCGATGATGATGACAATAGTAATATGAGTGACACTTATTCGATTGCTCTTAATATTATTTTCCAGAAATGCGACTTGTACATTTGTAATGCGACTTTTTCGAACAGAAAACTTAAGAAGTTGTACATCGACACATTGGGCGTGCTGCACACTTGTATACCGACGGCGGTGCTTTTGTTCACATACATCAGCATTGGAGTGGTTCTGTGGCGTCAAACGACTCCCGGCGAAGCACAGAACTTAAGAGACCTGACAATAGTGAGATCGAAAATAAAAGTAACCTCTGACCGAATGAAATAATAATTATTGTTAATTGCCAATGACACTATCGGTCGATTGATTTTTGCAGATGACGAAAATTATGCTTATCGTTGTGTTGGCATTCATAATTTGTTGGTTGCCGTTCAGCATTCTGTTCGTAAGTAAACGTGTTGAGTTTGCAACAAAATAAAAAAAAATAAACATTTTTAGACAACCTCTTAATTAAGCATAACATTTCGGTCGACTCTATTTTTTCAATTGTGCAAGAACAATATAAAAAAATTTTCGTTTAAACTGCTGGCTATATTAGTGCCGAAATAAATTGCATTTTGGTTTATAGTACTGATATATTTTACGGGTTCGCATAAAATATGACCTTTTTAAACGTTAAGTTAAAAACCAAGCCAAACTGAGTAAAAAAATGTTTTAAAAAAATAGGTTAATCATAAAATTATAGGAAAAATACTTTAAAAAAGTTGTATAATTATTTTATTGTATTTTATTCACTCAAATCATTTATTTATTCGAATAATTCATATTTATTCAACTGAGAATTGACGAACACATAATAGATTATTCGTTTAAAATATCAGGTATAATCTTTTCATTTTCCATAGCTGTTGTTGTTACTGGCTATTTAATTAAATTTCGCCAACTAAAATGCCAAAACATGAATATTGCATTCCATAAAGCGTTCGGGTTGGATATATGCTTTAGGGGATGTGGAAATATTTCAAAAAGACCTTTCTCGTTCACTTATATTTGTTACAGTCAACATATTATAAATATATTAAAGTATACACAGTATGAACCATCTGATGTCTTACATTAATTTTCTCGGAAAATGTGAATATTTTAAGAAAATTATTATTTTCCTAGACTAGTAGTATTTAATTTACTATATATTTTCAATAGAAATTTTAATCTTCATCCCTTATAGCGCAGCGATTTCCCGTTAAACGGTGGATAGAAATATAGATATTTTCCGAGAACACAGACAGAGGTGTCTTGCATCAGACGGATCACCTTTTTGTAAATAAATATACACATTTTTCACTATTGTAATGCGTTCTTTTCAGAATACTACGCCGTACGAACCGATAGTTTCGATGAACACGTGGGATCACAGAGCTCCTTTTTGCTTCATGCTGTACTGGCTGGGCATGTCGCATACTTGTCACAATCCTATTATCTATTGTTGTATGAACAACGAATTCCGGAAAGAACTCGTGCGCTTGCTGCGAAAAAATCCATTGCTCGGAAGGTGCCTTTGTAGGGTAAACACGAGTGCAGCCGAAGCCATGCCGTTGCAGGCGAATCATTGTCAGTCCGACAGGAGTTCATCGCGAGGACAACCGAGCAGCGTGGCCACTGTTCCTGTGGATTTACCATTTCGAGTCTTCTAAAAAAAATGTTTTGTTTTTGTTTTGTTTAATTTAAAACAGTGTTTGGAATATTCGATTGGCATTTCGAAAACCGTCTGTGATGTTGTAAAATTGTTGTACACTATTAATATCGATTCCAGTGAGATATAGTTCCTAAGACAATTAAACAATCATCAAAATATTATAAATATACAGGTTAATTATTTTATCGTGAACCACTCAATATCTCATAGGGTTTACTAAGAGATTACATTTTTTTTTTTCATAATGTTTTTATACAGTATGATCTCAATTTTTCACAATTTTTTTTTTCGTTTTAACACCCTTCCCAACTTATAATATATATTTTTTAAACCCAGTGAGATATTGTGTGGCCCACGATACAAAATTCACCCTGTGTTTATTAAAAACGCACGCTTTGGCGGAGTAATGTAAGAAATATCATATTTGAAGGGATCAGTGGATAAAGGTATTAATACTAAAAAGCTTTGGAACTTGTTTGATGTTCAATATATGGAATAACTTATAAGAGGAAAAATATAGGTCTAGGGATGCTCTATAATGCTTTTATTACACTATAATAATTTTAGTCTCATGCAATAAAATGCTTTTTTGAAAATATGTCATTGAACACCTTTAATCCACTGACCCCTCTTCATTTGTAAAAATCCTTTATTAACTGTGATAGTCACAGAGATTAGTGAAGTATTTAAGTATTTTGTCGGTGGTCGTGTTAAACTGATATTTATATATATATTTTTAATAGAAACCTTCACGACCACAACTGTAGTACTTTATTACTATATTTTATTTTTATCAATCAGACCATGAACGGCCAAGTTGTAGCCGTTAATAATATTTGAAACATGCAAATAATAATCACCGATGTGTATTTATAATATATTATTATCTACTTATGAATATTGTTTGATACACAGTCATTTTTTTTTTGTTTTTAACTGATTTTTTTTTTTTATTCATTTATGAAATTTTAAAGAAGTGTATAAGTGTATAGTTTAAAAAATAAATAATGCATCACTGATTTTTTAAATTAAAATAAAATAAATTACATCTATGTTGTTTCCACACGTTTGGTTGTAAATGTATCAAATTATAATGTTACTATAACATATTGTAAGTTTAAAAATATTGCTGTGTCATACGTTGTACAGAAAGGAATTTTACATATTTTCCTAATTGTCATGTCAGAGTATCTTTGCTTCATTCAATATTTCATCTGCGGTCAGTGGCAAGTCGATTTTACAACACAAAATACAATTATTATTTTTACAGATTATTTCTTCTTTTTTGTCGTTTATTCAATTTTATGTTTTTACTATTTCCGACGAATAAGTCCATACACTGGTCTGCGTATCCGGTTCGAAGGACCACCGACATCATGGGCTTAAAATAGTTGTCATGCTGTACCTTATAAGAATATAATCAGCTAACAGAAACCGGACAATAATTGTGTTATGCCGATGCGTTTGTGTGTTTCTTCTACTTTATTCTCGACCGTGTGTACTAACTGAATTAAGGTACTAACTGAATTATAGTAGGTAGACGAGAAAATATGCATTAGCGAAATTGCCGTGTAAATGTGACAAACACATTATTAAATGCGAACAAAGGTTTATTTTGTTAAACTCGCGAGAATTTCTAATATAATAATAATAATAGCGGATTTGCAGAATACAAAGATTCACATTTAATTTAAAAAAAACAAATTTCAATTAACGGTGGCCAATGCAATGTAATAAACTGAAGAGTATTTGCAATGAGATCAGAAATAGTAGTACAGCACTAAAGCAAAAATATGAAATCATTTATCACTTTCGTTTCAAAGTGGAGAACAATTCCTTCAGGAAAACTGACACACTTTTCAGCTAAGCAATTAATTACCTCGGTAGCAATAAAACGTTGATTTTTTTATACAAGCTATAATAGTAATAATAATCGACCGTTTAGAATAATTTCTTTAGGGTTTCCAGTGTTAGGTGAACATGTATTTACATTATAATTACAAGTATAATTAATTGTGTGTAATTAGGTAAGACATTAGCTTAGAAACTAACAATGTACAGCTCCTCACTATCTGCATGCAATATAAAATATAGTATATGAAAAGTTAAAGTATTCATAAAATATCAGTACTAATTTCAAGCAAAATTAAAACTCAGATATTTTGACTTTTGCACAACCAAAATGAGACCTGAACCAGAATTGGGAATTATTCGAATATTTTTTTGTTTAAATAAAAAATTATTCATACAAAAAATATTATTCTATTGAGTAAAAATTGATACTAATTATGTTGTTAGTTTGTTCAAATTTTTTTTTTTTGTTCAAAGAAAAATATAATATTCTGTGAAGTGAAAATTTGTAAATATTTTTTATAACTCAACATTCTAGTTTTCTGTAAGAGTTTTCTGTAAATGACCATAGATATGTTAATTATTTTGGTTATCCGAATAAATGTATGTTTTGCTCGTAGATTGTAGTATTTGTTAATGAACCTAAAACAACACTACTCAAATGATGTACGATTTAGGTGTCATGCGCAAACGCAGAAATGTGCCAATAGCTTTTGGGGCAACTTGCAAAGGCCGGACGAACTGACAAGGGAAAAATACACGAAAAAGCAGTCCTCACCTGACATTGTAACGACGAGAAATACTCTGTTTTTTTATGGTCTTGTTAACCAAGTACAAAATATACTTGGTGATTTTTAAATTAAATTTGATCGATATTTTTATACAATAAATTATAATAAAGTGTGCGAGAAACACTACCTATCGTATTACTAACAAGGATGGATTTACCTGTATTAGAGTTGACCCGGTCATAGATAAAGCATTCACACTCACAGTAAGTCAATTGTTTATACATTATTCATAGCGACATATTAATAATGTGATAGTTATATTTACTTGGCCCGGTTGTCTGCTTATAATGACTGTATTCATAGAATTATTATTTATCTGATGACAATTTGTATAAACAGGTTCATTACATATTTTGGCTTTTGTGTTTAAAATAATAATTATAATCCCGTCAATATCATAAAAAATATAAGATTTTACATTTTTGCCTCGGACAGCTTTAAATTCTTAGCTGCTTGACGGCGCACCATCGAGAAAAAAATAAAATTAAAGAATGTCGCATTAATTAATGTAACTTGTCGGCGCTGTAAGGTTTCTTCGAGCCGAAAGTAATTTAGGTCAAATTCAAAAACAAATCATCGACGGTATATACATTTAGGTATGCAACGTATAATATTAGGATTACTATTTAGGGTAAACTGTTACCTAAAAAAATATGAAAAGAAAATAATAATTTTAATTAGTCCAATATGTTCTAAGTTATTGTCTGGGTCAAAGTTAACCAATCGCCCTGTATATTTAAAACATAAATAATACAATAAATTCGGTTTTTTCGTGTGAACATTTTTTTTCTTTTAATTTTTCAGTTGGTGTAACACTTTGGGGAAAAACAGAAATGATCATGCCAGAAGTCGTGAACGTTTCCAGTATTGACGAAGTGAGCTCTTGGAACGTTTCTGACATTGTAACGGACATTTCGTGCCAAATGAAACCATACGAGGAAACACTTGGCTCGGTTGTGTTCAAATCCATAGCCTTTGCGATAGGTATGCTCGTCATAGTCACTGCGCTCGTCGGCAACGGTCTGGTTTGCATTGTGATCACATCTTCCACACAAACGATATCCGTCATCAACACGTTAATCCTGAACATAGCCATTAGCGATATGATCATACCGTTGTTCTACTTTCCATACTTGGTAAACGTCATTTTCATGAACTACTGGCCTTTTGGCGAAGCTCTCTGTGACGTTTACTCCTATTTGAATACGGTCGTCATTCAGGTGAGCTGGATTGACTCTTTTGTCAAATAATCAAATGTTAATGTTGTATTTCCTTAGGTCAGTACTTATACGATGGTCGCTATCAGTATAAACAGATATGTAGCAGTAATCTGGCCTTTGAAGACACGAGCAAGTAAGCAAAACGGCAAGTCTATAATATTTTTGGTTTGGACATTGTCGGCGGTTACCTCAGTCCCTTTCCTGTTTGCCAACGGACTGCAACAGCCGTCTATTTGGTATAAGGTAATATGCTATTAAGATTTATACAATTAACGGATAACCGGTGTTGAGGTAGACTAATTTGGGCGGATACGTTTGATTTGGCTTGTGCAAAAGGGGTCCTTATCACTTTTATTTCATTTTGAGAAAATTTAAAAAAACTTACTAGTTCTTTTTGAATTTAAGATTTTTTAATGAATTTTTTTTTTAGTGTTTACATAGAACATGTGTGTCATTAACGCAAATTGCTTTTAACTCATTAGACATTATAGTTAAAATAATAACGATTTTCGATTGGAATCAACACATTAATGGATGTTTAGATGTTGCCGTTTGTGTTAGCACATTGGGTGTACATATGTTTAAACATTATCATGTTTCTATGTTTGTAGTTTTAGCACAAAATCTGATGAGCCGATTGGAACAATTAACATTGTTTTTTATTTCCCGCATATCAAAAATGGATTTTTCGTATGGCGTTGATAATTTTACGTTTATTGTAAAATAAAATTGTATTGAATAATTAATATGTACAATATTTACTTGTCTATTTAAAGAAAAGAATCTCCATAAAAACGGACAATAGCGGTCATAACTCGTAGGTTGATAATATTTCGGTGACACTTATTTGAGGTATAATTTTTTTCAGAAATGCGACTTGTACATTTGTTATTCAACGTTTTCGGACAGAAAACTTAAAAAGTTATATATAGATACATTGGGATTGATCCACTCAGGTATATCGACCCTGGTACTCTTATTCACATACATCAGCATTGGAGTGGTTTTGTGGCGTAAAACGACTCCCGGCGAAGCACAGAATTTAAGAGACCTGACAATAGTGAGATCGAAAATAAAAGTAACGTCTGACCGAATGAAATAATTATCAACTGCCGATAAAATAATTAACGGACGATTGATTTTTTATTTTTATTTTCAATAATTTTGCAGATAACGAAAATTATGTTTATCGTAGTTTTAGCATTTATAATTTGTTGGTTGCCGTTCAGCGTTCTAGCCGTAAGTAAACCTGCTATTACTTTTGCTAGTACAATAAATAACTATTACTGTTTAAATAAATTACATTTTCATATTATTTTTTTAATTTTAACATTTCTCCCGCCAAAATAATGCCAAACTGATAAGAAATAAGTGATAACAGGTAAGAGACAAGTGATAATTACAGATTTATTTAATAAACTAGATTGCTTTGTGTACAATCGTCAATAGAGATAATTAAAGTTGCCATTTTCCGCCATATTTGTGGGAGTTAGAACCTTATTACATGAAATGGTCGAAGCCTACTCCCATTCTTATCACTAGTTACAATCTAGTTTATTATTTATATATACGTGGTGATGAGAGAAAAATGATAAGATATAAGTGATAACAGATGAACCGAAACAAATCCATGATTCAATGTTTTTCGTGTGGAGCGTAGAAAATAACTATTTTTAACGTTATTTTACCACTGCATAGCTTAAGACTGTTGGATTTGTTTTTTGCTATGCTTTTCCAGAGTACTACGTCTTACAAACCTATAGTTTCGATGAGCACGTGGGATCACCGAGCTCCTTTTTGCTTCATGCTGTACTGGCTGGGCATGTCGCATACTTGTCACAATCCTGTTATCTATTGTTGTATGAACAACGAATTCCGGAAAGAACTCGTGCCCTTGCTGCGAAAAATGCCTTTGCTTGGAAGGTGCCTTTGCAGGGTAAACACCAGTGTGGCCGAAGCCATCCCGTTGCAGGCAAAACACTGTCAGTCGGACAGAAGTTCATCCCGAAGATAATAAATTAAGTAGCATCGTCATTGTGGATAACCATTTTGGGTCACTTGCTTTTTTTCAAAATTTTAAATTTAACATTTATACAAGGTTTGATTTATTGGACTGAAAAAAAAATGTACCATATCATTTTAATCGGATTTGTAAAAATATAATAAGTGATAACGACAATTGTAAATAGTGTCATTGATTATGGATACTATTATTATAATAATATATCATGTATTTTTATAATACCTAGTATTAATTTCAGTACGGTATAGTTACTAAGACAGTAAATTATTTTTAAACTATCCTACTTTTATCGTGAAATTATTTTGATCAGTTAATATTATTTTTGGTAGATTTCAAATCGGCTCAAAATCCTTATAGTTTTGGTCATTGTTGAAATTTATACATTTTATTTCTTGTCAACATATATATCATGTTATGATATATTAACATTTTATATTCTAAATAGTTATCTACACAACTACATAACAGTATTTAAATGTTATTATCTATATAGATCTCTTAAACCCAAGGACACAGTCGTTATTGGCGATAATCATCGGTCATCGCAAACAAACACTGTTATTATTGTTACTCTAAAGTAGTTGTATAAGTTTATTTTTATTTTGAAATTATTCATTTTGGTATTGCATTTGTACATTTTATTTAAATATACATTTTAACTATTGTATAATTGTATTCACTTAACGTTTTAATTATGATCATATCTGTTAAGATTACAATTTGTGTTATGATCATTTTGTTTGTAGTAACTAATAAGTTAAAATGAATAATACTATTTTAAAGGAGTCTTAGAGGGCTTTTTACCGCACAGTAAAATAAAACAAAATGATTGAGTTAGTAATGTAGAAGCATGAACATAGCGTTTAAAAGGTTTTGTTGTAAATGCATAAACCGAAGTAAACCAGCCTAAAAACATTGTAATAATTTCAACAAAAAACTAAGACAAATAACAATAAATGGTACAAATGATAAATATTATATTTGAAAGTTCCGTGACTAATTATAAAGTTTTGATATTCATTGATGTAAAACATTAATCGTGTAGAGCCGCTGTCATTATAATATTATACTCGGTTGTAACTAAGTTTTTTTATGATGCTTTAATTTTGAACCGTTTATATTGCACACACGTCCGTTGCAACAAAAATTTAGGGCCGGTTACCATGGCAGGGTGTGCTGTCAACAACGTTGGACTGACAATAGTTTTATTGTGATATATTTTTTGAGATACCTTACAGCAGTTATTCGTGTCTGTTCGTCTTCGAGCTAATAGTATTCAATTAGTTTTAACACAGCAAAATGGCGTACAGGACGAAAATTTGTGACGAAGGCGGCCTTTTCAACGCGTCCAGACCGTCCGGATACAGCGCAGAGACTCGAGCTTTTTTAAACGGTATTATTCCTACACAAACAACCAGATGAATGAATAAATAAATAAGTAAAAACTCTAATGGAATTTTCAGTTTCCAAAATATGATTTAGATTTCTTACTAGAATAAAATAAAAATTACAATCAAATTTAAACGTTTATCAGACATATACTGAGTAAAAATAATTCAAATGAATTGTTGTATTTGTTTAAATTATGGTTTGATCGAAGAAATCGACAGACAAAATAATTAGAGTTGGTCATTTTCTTCGAATCATTTTTTTATCTAGACGAAGCCAATTAAATACTGCCTTTTATTCAATAACTTATTATTCGATTGTGTAGTACGAGATATTTCTTAAATGCCTTAAAAATACTAATAGATATAATTTTAAAAAATGTTGAGTTAAAAAAATATACCTATTCAAGATAAACATTAAGATAATTTTCAATTAAATTAAAAACAAAAAGTGTATTTATTGTTTAACAATTAAATGAATAAATACTATAATATGCATTTAATACATATTATGTATTTATTTAATATGCAAGATAATTCTATTTTTTTTTTTTAATAAATAATAAATAAACTAATCTATCTTTTGTTAATCAAGTTACAAATGATGATAGATATTATTGAATAAAATATTATCTACTATGTATTTTTTAATTTAAATTTTACCCTACTGTGATAAATATGATACAATATATTATTATAATAATTGTAGAACTTAACATAAATAGCACCCCTCATTAGTTGAAATGAATAATATTGGACGCCATCTATGAGATAACATTGCAGTAATATACTTTGGTTAGTGTATTTTTTTTTTAAGCCAGATGCCTTTAGTGGTTGGGAATATGCCTTATGACCGGTTTGTTATTTTTTTTTGTTTTTCTCTCATCTATACTATTGAAATTAATTAAAATATAAATCTTACAAAGTAAGTAGTTTATTTATAATGTATGAAAAACTATTTACAAATGATTAAGGTATTTCCTGAATAAATACTGACTTCTAAAATATTCCATTAAAATGTGTTTGTCATAACTATTTCAAGTACTATTTATGCTTAACACAGATTTTAATAACATTGCTCAAACTAAAAAGCATTTCAAGATTATAAAAGCACAAGATCGGTGTAATTTTATATTTCTAAAACAAAAATTAATTGGCAAAAATGATTAATAACTATTTGAAGTAAATTCTTATTTACTGTTTCAACTAATTTGTTATATTAGTATTCTTTTAAAATAAATTTTCGAAATAGTTTTAATTACACTAAAAAAAGCCAAAAACTGATGTAATCATACTTTTTAAGAAGGTAAATAAAAATGTATTCGACTTAATTGTTTGAGTTTCGTTGATAATTCCCATTTTAATTCAAATACATATTTATTCGAATTAATAATTGCAAATACGTTTAAATTAATTGTATTTATTAAAACAAAAATGTTGGTTAAAATGGTTTTCATCTATACTCAAGTAAAAATAAAACTGTATTCATTATTTGAATACATTTTTGTTCTCTTAATAATATTAATTTTATATAATATAGTGTATTCGTAAAAACTATTTGCTAGCCATGTTTTTACTCTTTTTACTTTTAACACCTTAGAGATGACTAAAAATGTAAAAACCTAACATTCAAAATATTCGAATTAGTCCCTTCGCCGTCAAGTGTCATAAATAACTGCGCTAAAAGGACGTTAAGTCGATATTATTTCATGCAACTCTTTGTGTCATTCGAGTTAAGTCGATGTCGCGTGATTCTAATCTGAAAGGCAAAACGAGTGAATTTTTATTTTCTCGATTTAACTAATCAAATCCCTCGTGTTTGTATTTTATTCAAACACTTGACGCGCGCGTGCGAATAATTCACACTATTACCATTTCTGCCGGCCGGTGTTGTGTACTTGATCATTTTTTAAATTTGTTTTTCCTAAACGTCAACATTGTTTTTGCTTTTATGTGATTTTCACGTAGCCGCCAGAATGATCCAGACACCAATCGTATAATAAGCATACAAAAAAAAAAAAAAACAATGTGAACAAAGGTTTTGTTAAAGTTTACAAAAAAGCTCGACTTAAGCAAACAATATTATATAAAACAAAATAATTTTTTTTTTGATGAAGTTTATTTTTTTTTCCACCGTCGCACAGCTACTGTTTGTTACCATTGACATGAATATGTCTTATGGCCAGAGTAGTTGTTTTTTATGGGAATGAACCTAAAATATTTTAAGGTTTTTAGGGGTAACAACGTCATACAGCTATACCAGCTATAGACAGCTGTGATTCTCTCTTCCTCATTCCGTACCAAAACCCTGTATGTTGTTAGCTCCTTTTGGAGTGCCCTATTCGTTCTTCAATTAGCTATGGTAACCCGTCATGATGCAAATCTAACCTAAATTGCCCGATAATGATAACACAAAATAACCAGAAGAGATACTTCTCAAGGCTTACATGGACGATAGATATCTACCACACCTGTGGGAGAATCAGGATAGGCAGTATGAATATTACCATTTTTCTCTTATTTCAGGCGACAGTGTTCCTTTTACCGATTTCGAGTTCTCAGCGACTGTCTCTTTTGGTTATTCCGCGGTGATAAGAAATGGCTGATTGCGTATGTCGATAAGAGACAGTTGATAAAGAATAGGTGATAAGTGACGGCTGATAATGGCTCCTGATAGAGGTGACAGGTGATACGAGATTAGGGACAACTGGAGGGGACATGTTTATGATCCGATGTTATTCCTTCCGAGGGAAAAACTAATTTTCGGTGTGTTTTTGTTTTATTTATTTCGGCAAACGTGTTTGGTGTTTACAGATTTGATTAAGGAGAGCCGGTTGACCACGTTACAGCGCAAATCCGTGGTGGGCTGGCTGAGATCCGGTACACCGCCACAGTCGCAGCAGCAAACAACAAGGTCCGTTCGTCCACGGGCGCCTGTGTTCAACGCAGCGGCAACCGTCAAGAGGTACCGGTCGTCCAAGCCCAGAACGCTCAAAGACATAATCGAATCCGGTGCTTACGAACCGGAAACGTTTGTGCCCGACACGAAAACAAGTAAATCGATAGCCTATATGTATATATATATATATATAAATTTAAAGTAGAATGTGTATTGCATGGGGTAAACACAAAGGAAACAGAAGAGAAACTATATAGTTTTTACATGGGCTTGTAGAAAATGGCGACGACATTGTTGTCAGTGAAGGACATTTTTCAGTGTGACCAGAATGACGAAATTACATTTCTCTGGTGCATATTATTAATTTTGTTTCACTACTGCAACCGTGTTGTACAAAACATAAATGACATATTATTTATAATATTTTTTTAGTAATAATAGTTGATAAAGATTAAACTGTGCCGGGTTTAACAACTTATAAAAAAATAATTTATTTTTATTTAAGTGGTCACACTGTCGATCGCCTTCTTGATTACTTCGTTGCTGAGAATATATGTTGTAGCTCTATATTATATTTTTACTCTGTCATCCGAGTTTAGACTCAGGCTTTTCTAACAGACTTGAAACAGTTTGCATAGATAACTGGTACAAACTATATTGATTTGTGTTCATATTAGCCTTATCGTTATGCATTAAACATAATTTTTTATAGTTTTTTCAATACTTTAGGCTTCACCCATTGTAAATATATTTCCCCTTATAGACTCCGTGTTGTTTAATATATAAACTTTTAAACATTTACCACTCTTGTATGCACGGTAGCCGCTGTCACTCTTAACAGTAGGCTTACTATTTGTGTAATAATATAAAATTAATTGAAATAAGTCAAAGAAGATTTTGTGTAAGTGTTGTTTGGAGGAGTCACTATTATAATACTTGTAATTTTGGAGTAGTGCTTCTACATAAACACCGACCGGTATGTATATTAATCAGTAAGAAATAATTATATTTACAAAGCGCAAACAAGCGCATGAGCATTTATCCGTTCACAATTTCCCTTTAAAATGACAAAATAATTTCAATTATCACTTGTAAGTTTGACATTTAAACAGCCTGACCGAAATACACTGAAAAAATAGATTAAATAAAACAATATGATATCAGAAATTTAATTATATTTTTATGTCAAAGCTATTATGTCAGCTGTTTGTACTTAATAAGTCTTGATCCGTCTCAACTTTGCATAGCACCGTATTCATGTATTTATCAGGGTTTTTACTTCTTTTTATAATTTTAGACTTATCTGTATTATGACTTATATAGCAACTTTTATGCAATAGCCCCGATGCAATGGGCCGTGAACTTTAAAGGTGAACTCGGATTTGCATAGGCAAACACAGACGGTTTTAACCTTTATCCAATTTAAATGTGCGGACGCCGGATGATAATATTTTATACAGTTCATAACGAGCTGGTATTTTTTTTTCTTTTAGAAAACTACAGTGTCGAGAAAGAAAGACTGCAGAGTATTATGACGTACGGTAAATTGACCAAAATGGATCCTGTAGCAGCGCCTAAGAAACCTAACGTTAAGAAACCGTCGAAAGTATACACCGAAGAAGAGCTTATAGATTCAGGTAATATACTTTGTATACAATAACAGTTATTTATAATTATTTGGCAACACTAAAAGCTGTGTACAAATTATGATTTGTTCAACTCATTATATTTATCTTATAATTTATGTAATGAAAATGTAAAGAACCTTATATTTAAACTTAAAATAGCTTGTATTGAATTTCTATGACAAATAATATTATATCACTTCAAAACATAACGTACATTAAGTTAGGTTAGTTTTAGAAAGTTTGTTAAATAGGTTCCCAAATTTTCTAAAATAACTGTCTATAAAGAACAGATGAATTGTTTACCAACCTAAAACTTGTAGACGACGAAACAAAATATATTATTCAATATGGTACGGTTTAAGAGCCAATAACAAATGGATTTTTAATTTCATTTGATCTTGTGTAGATCCGGTCCATCCAAGTGTTTTCATGTATGAATGTACACAAAAGGTTGACCAAAAATCAATTCTTAATTTTTTTAAGGAGCTGGGGTAAATCACCATTATTATTACTATTGGATGGCTGATTGGTTTACGTTTTGGCGTACCTTATACCTATATATATATATATACATATTTAAGATAGGTTAAGTCAATTAACCAACAGTGGCCTACATGAAATAATAAAAGTAATGTATGAAACACGTGACTAGTGTTTGTACTTGAAAAGAACAACATATGTCGCTGGCGCATAGTAATAATTAATGGAGTCTAAGAATATAATAATATATTATACTTTGTGTAAGAGTATTAAATGAATATAGTATCCTTATATAAAAAAAAAAAAACAGCTAACCTTGGCGTAGGAGACAACATTGTTTTGCAATTGTTGTTTTAATTATTATTTTTAAAGTAATGGCTTACAAAATATATATTATGTAATTCCGACCATCCTGTACTATGGTGTAGGCCGAAAACTGCTCGCCTTATAATTAACTTTGACGTTAATTATTGCTAAACGGATCTAAGTGGCGTCCGTTGACTTAATTGAGTTATATCGTTATTTCTATTGAAGAGCTGGAAAATACGAATACACGTGTACGAAAATGAAAATGCCTCGTTATTTTACTTTGAGATGATAGTACTTTGTTAGGTATTAAAGTATAATCATATTAAAAAAATAATAATAATATTAACGATTTCAGATTTTGCTTAGCAATTCGGTGTTCGCGTTTCTATTGGAATACTTGAAAAACTTAAATGTTATTACATAATATATACCTTACATGCCTTTTTATTTTTTTTACAATTAGTAGTCACAGAGATAATATTCCAAGTGAAATAATATTATCCTCTTTCGAAATGCGTTCGTTTTACTCGATTACTAATATTATTTGTATAATCTTATAATTAGAGTATCGACTAAAGAAAACTATAAATATTTACATAACAACATCATGCCGACAGTATAAATAATATATTTTAGTTTATAAATGTCTCGCAATTGAACGGTTCGCGCAGATGTCTTGAGATCCGTTTGAGTTGTTTGTACAATTCAAGTGAAGTAAATAAACAAAACTCCCGGGCGTGACAGATAATCACGACTATCTTTTGCAAAACTCACACTTAATAATGTTATTTTTGTACTCAGCTCAAAACATGAATAATTGGTGTCTTACCTGCATGATACATCACATAACATAATTGTTTTGCGGACGATTGGAAATTCTATTATTATCATTGTTGGGTTATTATTTTATAAGTTGTATTATCTATGCAAAAAAAAAAAAAAAAACCTTTTCAATATTTCCATCGTGAACGCCGAGATTTGATGAGTTTTCTTAAGGAGGGGGGGGGGATAAAGGAAATTCTGAGCTGGTTATAGCCCACTTAGTTTACTACCCTGGTTTTTGTATCGAATAACACAATTATTATTACTATTGTACCTAATAAAAAATATCAGTATCGACAATGGAGAGAAAACGCCTCCATAATAAAATAGCGAGTTAAAAAAATATATATATACACAATTTATACAATGTATAATGTACAATATTAGATTATAATACACAATTTATGGTTTATCTAGAAGGAAACGTTTTTTTTTTTACATTTATGTATACCATTACGTTACACTGACCCCGGTGACATTTTATGTGGGTAATTTGTGTGGTTTATTAGGGCGGCAAATCTTCTGTACTTGATTTTTCTTAAATATTCCAAGTACGTGCTTCCACGTACTCTTCCAAACCCAAGGTTTGTTCTGCTAATTTGTATTCCTGTCATTTCCGGTTATCGCGGTGGCAAGTTTTCAAATACAATTATTTCACTAATTATCTATTAAATTATTTTTATTTTCTGCTTGGCCTCAAACGGCCAAACTTAAAATAAAACACTTATATAGTACTTAAACTGTGTGCTTATGCAGTTAATTAAAAAATATATATGTATATTAGTTTTACTTATAGTAAGCCATTGCGGTAAAAAAAAAGGTTTATTGTTTTCGGTTATTTAATATACTTTTTTTTTTGTTTATTCCAAAAAACTACAATACGATTCAAACGTGGTAAAAACAAATATTGTTGTAGAGTCTGTAAGAACAAATATAATTTATTTACAGAAATCAATATACTTACCGTTTATCTAAAAAATACATCTAAACTGAGAGTTCTTTGGACAAAAAAAAAAAAATCTAATTAAGATTCGATTTGTTTTGAAATGGCAAGAGAGCACCAAATTATTAAGTTATGTCGAATCTGTGCAAAGTTTTAAGACAGTTATGTTAGTACTTAACCGGATTTTTTTTTTACCAACGGCTAATCTTGAAGAATTCTTAATGAGTAAAAAAAAAAATTAACCATTAAGCTAGTTATAGCCATTTGTTGGCTAATCGAAGTTGAAACTTGTGTTTCAACCACGTTTGTGGTTTTTTATTGGTGGTTTTTTTTTTTAATTTTAAACGTGAAAGAGTGGATTTATTTGACTCTAGACTTCTTCGAGTGCTTTGGATTTGCATTACGGTTAGGCCGGTCCAGAGCTGACACCCTATGTGTAATGGACACTAAAATCTTAAAAACACTCATTACTGGGAAAAAAATACTTAATAGGCTTTGCATTGAAGATGAAATCATTATCCGGTAGTTAAAGAAGAGAATATTTCTAGTAAAACTCACAACAGTGAAACTTTTAAGTCTAAAGAAGACAATACTGAGAAATCGGTTTAATTTGATATCCAACTAAGAACAGTAAGAATATCCTATACGCAGAAGTACTGCTATTGTTTGTAATCTTACAAGTTATATAGGTACAATATTATACCGGTTGAATTGATTTAGTATTTTCGAAAAAGACGGATCTTATTTTTGTTGACTGAAAACGAATTATTTGCAAATAATTCGTTTGAAAAGTTTTCCTACAAAATGTACTTATTATTGTTACACGAATAATATTTGATTAAGTGTCTATAAAATGGTTTACCCAATTAGGTGTTTTCTTGTAAGTGGCAAGCGTAGTAAATAATACATCTTCGGACATTGACATGTCGTTTATTTTTTATTGATTGTAATTAACATAGTATTATTATGTACTTCTTATTCAATAGTGTAATTTGCAGGTAGTAATTTCCAAGTAGTCTGTGATTTTTTTTTTTTACACTTTTATAAAAAAAAGTAATTCCACGTATAAACATACATTATTGTTTCTAATAAAAAATATTATACACTAACAGCGTTACATTAAGTCTAACAGTGCTAGAACCATCTCAAAAAGGCGCAATAAATAGACCGTCTGGAAAACGTTCACTTGGACGGAAAAATTGATTTTGCGGTTGGCTTAACTTCTATCAAAACATGTTTAACATCAACATATTAATGTTATTATTGTTCCCGCGAAACTAGAAAACAAAAATTATACACAAAAGATGTATAATAATATTATTACGTGGGACGTACCTATGTATGTTTTTTGTTTTTACATAGTAATGCTTGTTGTTTTCTTTCTCAGCTAAATTTCTGTTGTATTTTTTTAACTATATCATTTTGATCCTTCTGTTTATTACGATATTATGTACACTTTACACACGCGGCTATGGTAATAATATTAGGTAGGTATAGACAGTCTTACGGTTCGACAAAACATCAGGGTAACCCTGAACGACAATAATAACAATATAATATCGATGAAAAAACCCAAAAAGGTTATCGTTTGGCCAATGTATTCGTTAAAAAATAAAATATTCTTATTCTTTTCAGTCGGAAAACGGTGTACATACAGAGTGATCCAGCGCTGATAGCGCCGTGGATCACCCTGTATTTGGGATTTTATTTGTTCCTCGGTTTTCTTATTATATTATTAATTCCAGTCGTTTGTGTTTACAGTTATTTCGGAGATAGAAGACCGCGAAAAATTCCTTTCCGACATGGAAGTGTTGGGCGATGCGGCCAAGTACGAAAAGCTCATGTTCGGCGAGATCCTGGATCGCATTAGACATTTGCAGGAATTTTCAAGAAAAACCACCAATTCTTACAGAAAGGGCGACATACAAGCAATAGCCGTCAAATACCAAAAACCGCGATTTCAGCTATTGAAAACGTTGGCCAATACCACACTGATGGATTAGATTAAAAGAAAAACAGTATAATTATTATTATAACGTCGCAATGTACTTAAGCTTTTTTGCCATTATATAAATACTATACCCTCAAAATCGTTTCGGTTGCAAAAAATATTTTTACAGCTTGTTTGGAATGTCACAATTAACGTTCAAGTACACTGTGATAATGCTTTCTTTCTCATTATTAAAATTATAACGTGTAAAAAACAGTGTAAGAATTCATAAAGTGTTTTGGAATTTAGAAGAGACAAGAGATAATAAAACTATAATAAAGAAAGTGTGCAATTATTGCAATAATTGGAATTCAGTAAAAAACAAGCGGCATTGCTCGTTGAAAAAATTAAATTATATTAAATAATAATTGTCAAATGTGTCCAGTTAAAATCAACGCTGTAAACTGTAAAGTAAATATTACAGCAAAAGAATTTTTTAATTATTGTTAAATAAAAGTTTTATACAACTATATATTTTAAATTGAAAATGAGAAGAAAAAATATGTTAGTCAGTGAAATATTTAATTTGTTTTATTCAGTTAATTTACAAGACAAAAATAATAGTAATAAAAATTGAAATATTTCAAACACTTCACATAACATTATATAATTACTCTGAATATGAATAACGTTTACAGTTATTAGGTTTTATTTTTATTTTTTTACTTTTACTGCTTGTCGAGGGTAATGTGCAACCATAAAAACATACACCTGCTTACATGCACTGCATATTATAACAAATCCTGTTTAGTATAAATATAAATAACATGTTTACGGACACTCAACCCTTTTTAAAATTTGTTATTACCTCTAAGGACATGATAAAAATAATGAACATGAACCAAACAATTAAATACACAAACCATTGCATTCGAATATTATAACGTCATAATGATTTAATCGTTTCAGATAGTGCGATAGTGTGACCACTTTAAATAAAAAATAAACACTTTTTTTACAGGTCGACACTGCACAATATAATCCTTATCAACTACTATACAGTTCAATAGATAAATCCAAACTTCACATGTCAATATGATAATGTATTATAACTGTAAAGTAAAACCCTGCACAGATTTTGTATGTGTACAAGTTTACTCCGGTTCTACTTCCTTTGATGTGTATTTATAGAGAATGGAGATATTTTATTAGAAAATGAAAGGGCTTATAATCGTCGCTTGAGTTATAGTTTTTTAGATTAAACATTAACGGTGTATTTTTATTTTTATTTTTTCTTAGCCGTAGTTTTAAGACTAAGTTAAAAACGTTATTACAAAAGTTACTACCATTCTATCATATTATATGACGTGTTACGAGGCATTTTTTTTTATTATTATTAAATTATCAATATCTCGTAAAAAGTTTTTGTAAAAATATTAAGATAAATATGTTTGTTTACTTACAAAATATGCGAACTATAACCGAGAAAAGTTTCCAAAGATTTTCGGGAAAAGTGCATTATTTTGAGGTGTGAACAATGTTCAATATTACTAACCTGCGACGATGGACCGGGCGACCGTTTGATACAAACGACCCTAAAGTATTTTATGTTAAAGGTCTGTATGCATTTGTAATATACTACATTCTCGGGCTGGCTTTATTCATATAATTCCACTATTACAGCTGTAAAATGAAATTCGCCTTACTAAACATATATAATAATATAAAAACCCTCGTTATTTCACGTGCAACAATGATAATATATCCACCATTATAACGCGGCCGTTGTAATAACAGTAGACCTTACATTTTACTTAAAAGGTAATCACCCATGAACGGAGTATGACTTCACGAGAAAAAAAAATATTACCTGACTGTTTTTCGGGACTACAAAAACAGGGTAATTCGTTTGGCACTACACTATACCGTTTTCATTGAAAATAATTTAAATCTTATTTAACCTAACCCAAATAATTTGTGCTTGGATTTATTTTTTTTTTTTTGTATACTTTTTACAACATAACGAGTGTTTGATTTGTATCATTTTACATATTTTGTCTTACGATTTATTGTCATACTCCGTGAGACAGCACTACATAATGGGCGCTAAGAATAGCATTCAAATGTAGACTATTTTGTTTAAATAGAACTATCTCAAAAACTATTAAAACATATATTTAAAGTATACACACGGATTTTTAGGAGAAAAATACTAGCTGTTTTTGTTATCCAAGTTGTAACAAAATTATGTTTTTGGATAGACGTTCTTAAACCAAGTATAAAGACACGTTCGGTAATAAATAATGTATTACTTCAGCGGAATTTAAAACAATTTGTCTGGCTTTCAATCTTATTCCTAGAAAAAACATTGAATATTTTCCAAAACTCAATTGATTTTTAATATGTTTACCGCATCATGTAAATACTTGTTATGTTTACAATATTTCATATCATTTTTTTTGTTTGTGTATAGTCATTGTAAGTCTAACAGCAAAATAACCACACTCAAAACACTTCTAACAATTGAAAGAACGTTTTTAATTTTTACTTCAACCAAAATTGTACACGCTAACCAAACACTTACAAATTGTGATTTTGGGTTTTACTGCACATCTAATCTGTTTTATTACTTAAAGCGATAGTAAATTGTAATTTTAAATACTTACTAGAAATAATGTCACATTTATAAAAATATATTTTTTGAATTAATTCGACAACCATGAACTAAATCACATGTCATTTTGTCTCTTGTTCTACATAAAAAAAAAAAAAGGAAATCTGGTCTATTTGATTGATTTTATTGCAATTTCATACCACCGATGTATGTTTGTGTATTATTAGGACAACCTAAAAAATAAGAAGAAATTTAATATCATTAAAAAGACTGTTCGTACCTGTTCAATGTATCGAAAACTATAGTTATACGTGTACCTACAAGTGTATAGAAAAAATAATTTTGAAAATATTCATAATTCCCTGGAAAGCGAGTGTCTTACATCGGATGGATCACCCTATATTATATGGGTTATTAGGTATATACTGTCCAGCCTTTACCACCGTTAATAATACACTTGGGTCGTTTGGTCGTTAGGTATTATTACACACACGGAACCGGCTCTTTTGCCGGCAACCAAACGGAAGAGTAATAAGTATACCTTCAGCCAGGGTCTTATGTATGAGTTCACACGGTCGTTTCAATGGGAATTATGCAAATCGACTGAGCGTCTGGGTCCGGACGCCGTATAGCTAGATCACCGGTCCTAATAAAATAGCTACCGTGTACACGCGTTGTATAATACATCATAGTATTCCATATAAAGGGAAAAAAACAGGTAGGCGTTTACAAAGATGACCGGACAAAAGACAATATAAGAACAGACAGGGTACCCTGCGATTTCAATGAAAAATAAAGAAAGCCACCAACATCCAAAAGGAACGATGTAAGAAAATATATATATATTTTCTTTATTTTTATTGTCTTGGCCTGTATTGCTTGTAAACCGCGTTTCATTGATGATGGCATTGACGAACGAAAGTGAAAAATAACAATAATAATAATATTATGGTATTAATAATTAATATCGTGTGTCGTTAGCGTCTAGCATATGTCGCCGACGGGTATGTGGTCATGTGGCCCAACTCGTTCATTCATGAACTTAGCTCTGAATGAAATGGATGGATCCAATATAATAACATAATATGTTGTATATTCGAAGACCAACAAGTGGGGGTGCGATGGACCGGCAACGATGGCTGTAATAATAATAATAATAGTGTTAATACGAGCGGCAGCGTTAATAACAAGGCATTATACTATAATAATAATATTATCACGATACGATTATGGTCTTATGTACAATAGCGATCGAGTCTTTTCACATTACAGTGTAAGTACATAGTTAGGAATTGTAAAATAATACTTCATTTGAGAAAACGCTAAACGAGCGTTCCGAGAAAAATATAAGAACAGTTTTAAGTCGAACTCAACAGGACGTCATCCCCTGTTTATTAGGGATTTAGGCAATTTCTTGTAAAATCTTTTTTCAATTAGTTTATTGATTAATGTTAAACTGCGGCGATGTGTTATTATTAGTTCAGTAATTAGGACTCGGTTTTTGGTAGCCCATTTATTTTTCGGGCAATTACAGCATTCTCGACAGCGATTTAAAACAAAATGAGAACTTTATCTCTAGGTTTTCTTGACGGTTTTATTTTTAGTACCTAAATTTGATAATTTTATTTTGGAACATAAACCGATATAAGTCTACTTTTTGGATTTGTTTCGTCTAAACCGAATTAAGTCTCTCAATTCCTTTGCATGTAGTAATTACAAAACAAAAATCAGAGTATTATAATTATCTTTTATTTATACAAAAAAAAAAAAAAATCTTCATTTAGTTCCAAGGCTAGTTGGGAATTAATCAGATAAAATGAAAAAACTTTGTTAGGAATAAATATAAGAACATTTTTCCAGTGGAACAATCCTATTTTAAAATACAACTAAATGGTGTTGTTGGATTGAATTTTGTGATACAAACTGAGATGAACTCATTTTACATATTTTGTGAGTTGTACTTATTTTGTTATTATTTTACTTTAATTTTAAACCAAACCAGACAAAACGAAGCAGCAGTCCAAATGTGTAAGCATATGTATGCTTATTCCTAAATGAGTAGCAGTTGGAAGGCCAATCGAGAGGCAGACTAGCTCGATAAACCAAGCATTTTCAGCAGAGAATAATATTGTAACTGATTGAACAGACAAACTGCCAATCCTTGTTGTTTGCATAATAATTTGCATATTTGCAATTCACATAGCCAGTAACACCAGACGTCTCTGGAGCGCCTATAATAATATTATACGAAATGCATAAGCGAACGGGATCAAAGGAGTGCCCCGCCAAAGGAGACCCTGTGCGACCGATATCCTGGGGCCTTATTATGTACAGGGTGTCTGGCGCGAGATTTACATATTTTATTGATTGTATATATTATGATAAACGGCTATACTATGATAATCGGTTTGTTTATGCCGTCCAAACTATTGTGGTGGTGGTCTGTGTGCGAAAGGGCAGACCGCGGGCACCTTGTATTTGTTATTCCTGTAAAGCCCGGCCAGCTATTTCTCAGAACGGTCTGGATTCCGAGTGTATTGAAAAAACTGTATATTGACTTTAACGTCGATGTTTGTTTATATTTGTTTTTATGTCTGAGCAGCCCCGAAGGACACAGTCGTTTCGGTCACTTGTTTCAGTAAGTTTTCTTTTTTCACCGACGTATACGGTTTCCAAAGAGATTAAATGTACAACGCTAACCCACCTC